CGCGTTTCAGCAACGGAATTTGAAAAAGTTTTCATCAATATTTCAGTTTCTTATTCCATGTAACTTTCATGATTTCAAATATTAATATATTTTGAATTCGAGATATTAATACCAACTATGTTTTAGATCAACGCAGCGAAGTGTAATTAATCGACGGAAAAACTGCACAAGAGAGGAAAGTTCAAATCTCAATATATTTAGAATTCGAGATATTGATAGCAACTATGTTTTAGATCAACGAAGTGACGTGTTATTATTCGACGGAAAAATTGTACAGAAGAAGAAACCAGACCAGAAACCAGCGACCAGTGATAATTTTTTCATTCTTAGTTACGAATTATATTCAATTCATTTCGAATATTTCTTCCAAATTTTATATTTGTTATGGAAGGCGATATATCGTAGAACATTTTTTGATAGTCACCTTTAAGTCTCAATGGAGACACGACAGGTACCCTTACGAGGGGAGAGTATCAACCCTTGGCATCGGTAAACCCTCGTTGCAACCGGGGTAGGCGCCTGATGGGTTAGGTATATACAGTGTTTCTCATTTAGGAGAAAATTGTTGGCTATCTGTTCCGCTCATTTTTTGAGCAATAGAAGAATATGTCGCGTTTCAGCAACGGAATTTGAAATTTTTTTTATCAATATCTCAGTTTCTTATTCCATGTAACTTTCATGATTTCAAATCTCAATATATTTTGAATTCGAGATATTAATACCAACTATGTTTTAGATCAACGAAGGAAAGTGTAATTAATCGACGGAAAAACTGCACAAAAGAGGAAAGTTCAAATCTCAATATATTTAGAATTCTAGATATTGATACCAACTATGTTTTAGATCAACGAAGCGACGTGTTATTAATAGACAAAAAAATTGTACAGAAGAAATCAGACCAGAAACCAGCGACCAGTGATAATTTTTTAATTCTTAGTTACGAATTATATTCAATTCATTTCGAATCTTTCTTCCAAATTTTATATTTGTTATGGAAGGCGATATATCGTAGAACATTTTTAGATAGTCATCTTTATGTCTCAATGGAGACACGACAGGTACCTTTACGAGGGGAGAGTATCAACCCTGGGCATCGGCAAACCCTCATTGCAACTGGGGTAGGCACCTGATGGGTTAGGAATATTCAGTGTTTCTCATTAAGGAGAAAATTGTTGGCTATCTGTTCCGTTCATTTTTTGAGCAATAGAAGAATATGTCGCGTTTCAGCAACGGAATTTGAAAAAGTTTTCATCAATATTTCAGTTTCTTATTCCATGTAACTTTCATGATTTCAAATCTTAATATAGAATTCGAGATATTAATACCAACTATGTTTCAGATCAACGAAGCGAAGTGTAATCAATCGACGGAAAAACTGCACAAAACAGGGAAGTTCAAATCTCAATATATTTAGAATTCGAGATATTGATACCAACTATGTTTTAGATCAACGAAGCGACGTGTTATTAATCGACGGAAAAATTGCACAAAAGAGGAAACCAGACCAGAAACCAACGACCGGTGATAAGTTTTTCATTACTATTTACGAATTTTATTCAATTCCTCTCGAATATTTCTTCCAAATTTATTATTTGTTATGGAAGGCGATATATCATAGATCATTTTTTGATAGTCACCTTTAAGTCTCAATGGTGACACGACAGGTACCCTTACGAGGGGAGAGTATCAACCCTTGGCATCGGTAAACCCTCGTTGCAACCGGGGTAGGCGCCTGATGGGTTAGGTATATACAGTGTTTCTCATTCAGGAGAAAATTGTTGGCTATCTGTTCCGCTCATTTTTGAGCAATAGAAGAATATGTCGCGTTTCAGCAACGGAATTTGAAATTTTTTTATCAATATTTCAGTTTCTTATTCCATGTAACTTTCATGATTTCAAATCTTAATATATTTTGAATTCGAGATATTAATACCAACTATGTTTTAGATCAACGAAGCGAAGTGTAATTAATCGACGGAAAAACTGCACAGAAGAGGAAAGTTCAAATCTCAATATATTTAGAATTCGAGATATTGATACCAACTATGTTTTAGATCAACGAAGCGACGTGTTATTAATCGACGGAAAAATTGCACAAAAGAGGAAACCAGACCAGAAACCAACGACCGGTGATAAGTTTTTCATTACTATTTACGAATTTTATTCAATTCCTCTCGAATATTTCTTCCAAATTTATTATTTGTTATGGAAGGCGATATATCATAGATCATTTTTTGATAGTCACCTTTAAGTCTCAATGGTGACACGACAGGTACCCTTACGAGGGGAGAGTATCAACCCTTGGCATCGGTAAACCCTCGTTGCAACCGGGGTAGGCGCCTGATGGGTTAGGTATATACAGTGTTTCTCATTCAGGAGAAAATTGTTGGCTATCTGTTCCGCTCATTTTTGAGCAATAGAAGAATATGTCGCGTTTCAGCAACGGAATTTGAAATTTTTTTATCAATATTTCAGTTTCTTATTCCATGTAACTTTCATGATTTCAAATCTTAATATATTTTGAATTCGAGATATTAATACCAACTATGTTTTAGATCAACCAAGTGAAGTGTAATTAATCGACGGAAAAACTGCACAGAAGAGGAAAGTTCAAATCTCAATATATTTAGAATTCGAGATATTGATACCAACTATGTTTTAGATCAACGAAGCGACGTGTTATTAATCGACGGAAAAATTGCACAAAAGAGGAAACCAGACCAGAAATCAACGACCGGTGATAAGTTTTTCATTACTATTCACGAGTTTTATTCAAGTCATTTCGAATATTTCTTCCAAATTTATTATTTGTTATGGAAGGCGATATATCATAGAACGTTTTTTGATAGTCATCTTTATGTCTCAATGGAGACACGATAGGTACCCTTACGAGGGGAGAGTATCAATCCTTGGCATCGGTAAACCCTCGTTGCAACCGGGGTAGGCGCCTGATGGGTTAGGTATATACAGTGTTTCTCATTTAGGAGAAAATTGTTGGCTATCTGTTCCGCTCATTTTTGAGCAATAGAAGAATATGTCGCGTTTCAGCAACGGAATTTGAAATTTTTTTATCAATATCTCAGTTTCTTATTCCATGTAACTTTCATGATTTCAAATCCTGATATATTTTGAATTCGAGATATTAATACCAACTATGTTTTAGATCAACGAAGCGAAGAGTAATTAATCGACCGAAAAACTGTACAAAAAAGGAAAGTTCAAATCTCAATAAATTTATAATTCGAGATATTGATACCAACTATGTTTTAGATCAACGAAGCGACGTGTTATTAATCGACGGAAAAATTGCACAAAAGAGGAAACCAGACCAGAAACCAACGACCAGTGATAAGTTTTTCATTACTTTTTACGAATTTTATTCAATTCATTTCGAATATTTCTTCCAAATTTAATATTTAGGGTAGGTTCCTGATGGGTTAGGTATAAACAGTGTTTCTCATTTAGGAGAAAATTGTTGGCTATCTGTTCTGTTCATTTTTTGAGCAATAGAAGAATATGTCGCGTTTCAGCAACGGAATTTGAAAAAGTTTTCATCATTATTTCAGTTTCTTATTCCATGTAACTTTCATGATTTCAAATCTTAATATAGAATTCGAGATATTAATACCAACTATGTTTCAGATCAACGAAGCGAAGTGTAATCAATCGACGGAAAAACTGCACAAAAGAGGGAAGTTCAAATCTCAATATATTTAGAATTCGAGATATTGATACAAACTATGTTTTAGATGAACGAAGTGACGTGTTATTATTCGACGGAAAAATTGCACAAAAGAGGAAACCACACCACAAACCAACGACCAGTGATAAGTTTTTCATTACTATTTACGAATTTTATTCAATTCATTTCGAATATTTCTTCCAAATTCATTATTTGTTATGGAAGGCGATATATTATAGAACATTTTTTGATAGTCACCTTTAAGTCTCAATGGTGACACGACAGGTACCCTTACGAGGGGAGAGTATCAACCCTTGGCATCGGTAAACCCTCGTTGCAACCGGGGTAGGCGCCTGATGGGTTAGGTATATACAGTGTTTCTCATTTAGGAGAAAATTGTTGGCTATCTGTTCCGCTCATTTTTTGAGCAATAGAAGAATATGTCGCGTTTCAGCAACGGAATTTGAAAAAGTTTTTATCAATATATCAGTTTCTTATTCCATGTAACTTTCATGATTTCAAATCCTAATATATTTTGAATTCGAGATATTAATACCAACTATGTTTTAGATCAACGAAGCGAAGAGTAATTAATCGACCGAAAAACTGTACAAAAAAGGAAAGTTCAAATCTCAATATATTTAGAATTCGAGATATTGATACCAACTATGTTTTAGATCAACGAAGCGACGTGTTATTAATCGACGGAAAAATTGCACAAAAGAGGAAACCAGACCAGAAACCAACGACCAGTGATAAGTTTTTCATTACTTTTTACGAATTTTATTCAATTCATTTTGAATATTTTTTCCAAATTTAATATTTAGGGGTAGGTTCCTGATGGGTTAGGTATAAACAGTGTTTCTCATTAAGGAGAAAATTGTTGGCTATCAGTTCCGCTCATTTTTTGAGCAATAGAAGAATATGTCGCGTTTCAGCTAGGGAATTTGAAAAAGTTTTCATCAATATTTTAGTTTCTTATTCCATGTAACTTTCATGACGATGTATGATTAATCATATTTTTCATCATACCATCAAAATGTAATTGTTGAAGTATTTATCATTGTTTTTGCAAAAGTTACTTTAGCGCTTTTTGAATAATTTGCGTGCGTTGTCGGCTTTTAGATGCATTTGTACTGGAACCATTGCTTCTAGCGACTTGGGCAAGGTATACCTTTCTCAAGTATAAAAGAAGGGATAACAATTTTTTCCTCCAAGCATGAAAAAACCTCTGGGACTGGGGGACCAACACGTAAATCAAGGCCAGGGACAGAAAGGGTCAAGCATCAAAAAGAAGAAAACCGTCTAGCTCATTCACCTGCACGAAATTCATGTCGGTCAGCTGGGGCAGCACCAGCTCCTTGGCTTCCTCGCTGAAAGGCACCTTGGCCTGCGGCAGCCACGCCCAATGGTAGGGGTAGGCGCGCCAACTGTCGGGGTGCTTGTAGGGGAAGGCCAGCCCGTTGTCGATGGCGGCGACCTCAGGGGCAGCGGGGTCCGACAGGGGGGGCACCAGGGGGGCCGACTTGCCGTTCGCTACCGCCGGCGGGTCGTACTTGATCAGCCAGTTGTCGTTACCGCGATCGGTGTTTCTACGAGAATAGGTGAGTGAACTGATTTTTTTTATTTCTTATACAATGGGGGAGACCACTGATTTTTTAAAACGACATTATCGTGAACTCTATAATGAAAAACTACCAGTGAATTAATTTTGAATTTTGTCATTCATGCTAAGACGGTGAAAAAAATAAATTAGAATATGTCCATTTCAAAACACACAATTCCTGTGCTATTTGAGATTGTGTCAATTCATTGGTGTGACTGGTGCGACGTGTTAGTCCCAACACGCCTATTGTCCTTGAACTGACCAATCACACTGCAACACTGCAAAATGACGAGGTATCAGAGAGAGATAGCTAAAGCTCGGGACTAATACGTCATGGCTCCACCATCATATTTGGCAATTTGAAATATCGAATGAAATATGCTGATTTCAAAACGATATAGATTCGATTCCCTTCAACTTCAACTCATAATATTGACTGTACATCAAACGTGAATCATGATTCGTTGATTGAGAGAGGTTTGCACGGATTTCTTCTCTCAGTGGTCTTCCCCATTCGAGGATCAAAAGAAGTGGGGTGGTATGGGGGGAAGGGGTCATTTCAAATCAAACTAACCGTATATGTGGTTTGTGTCTGAAAGCTCTGAGATTCAATAATTTCAAACAACACATAGACTCATTATCAACATAAAAAGCGTGAGAAGCGAGGTGAGAAGTGTTGTAGGAAAAAATAAATTGAAATTCCAGGTCCATATTTACATAAAAATAAGTTGATGATGATTACTGGAAGACTGAACGTCGGATTTCAAATTTGAAAATGCCAACCTTTGGGGAAGGAAAACTGGTTATGGTAAAGTGGCATTCCTTTTAATTGATTTCTTTAAAAAAAGTTGAAAAAAATAATTAAATATCTTCAAGTGTTCATAATTTTAAGTTTCAAAACGATATTTTATCACCAGAAAATTGCACAGCTTAGTCATAATTTAAGCATATGAAACCTCTTACAGTTCAAATTAAAACAATTCAGAAATTTTATTCAATATAATGAAATTGACTGCATTAGTGTGGAGATTGGGTAACAGGGCAAAGGGATATTCATCAAATGTTTGTTCAAATAGCTCATGGTTAGACCTTGCCAAAATTGATTGATTTTATCAGCTTTTATGTAATAAATTAAAAGTAAAAAAAAAAACTTTTTAATAAAAAACTTTTATTCAAATGCTCTAAAAAGAAAAAAATTGTTCTTAATAATTTTAATTATCAACTCATAAAACCTCATTATACACAATTTATATGATCATAAAAGTTTGTCGCACGATTCACTTGTGTGAATGAACTAGTACTTATTTAATAATGTAAAATCTGCTGAGATGAAATATTTAAAATTTCAATTTAATTCAATATTGATTATCGCGACAAGCTTTTATGATTATATAAATTGTGTATAATGAGGTTATAAGTTGATAGTCAAAATTATAAAGGAACATTTTATTTTCTTCTTTTTATAGCGTTTGAATAAAAGCTTTTTGTTAAAAAGTTTTTTTTTACTTTCAAATAATTATTCAATTTTTAGTTATCGCTAGCTGGATTTTTCGATTTACTCTCAATGAGCCTTTTCATTTGATACCCATATTGTAAAAGTATATCAAAAATAGCTATTCCGCCATCTTGGATGGTCCGCCATATTGGATTTAGAATAACGTCACATTATTTTTCGAATTACTCTCAATGAGCTCTTTCATTTGATACCCATATTGTAGAAGTAGATTAAAAATGACCATTCCGCCATCTTGGATGGTCCGCCATATTCTATTTAGAATGACGTCACATCATTTTTCGAGTTACTCTCAACGAGCCTTTTCATTTGATACCCATATTTCAAAAGTATATCAAAAATAGCTATTCCGCCATCTTGGATAGTCCGCCATATTGGATTTAGAATAAGGTGACACACATTATCGTGCATTGTCATCCAAACTGAACGTGTATACAAAATTTCAGCTCAATCGGATGAAGATTTCTACTTCAAAATTGAGTACAAACATACAATGCAAGTTAAATAATAGTAGATTGTTTTATTAGGATCAAAAGTGACACTTTGTTTGACAAGCGAATTTTGCATTTGCGAGGCGGAGCGTTTAGCGAAGCCGAGCGAAAGCAAAATTTGCGAGTCGAACAAAGTCACTTTTGATCCGAATGAAACATGCTATTTTTTCTGCAACCGAAACAATTAACTCAAATGAACATGTGAAGTAACCACCAATGCCGTGCCATATGTATGCAATGCAACAAATATTGACAAATAATCCATGTAGTGAGAATATTCTACCTGCATTAACAGCAGGTTAGGTTTTCTAGGATGTTCGAATTGTAGTTTCAATATAAATACAACCACAGAGTGACATATTTGTGTATGGACCAGGTCCAGGTGCTCTAATGGCAAATACCGCGCCAGTGCTATAGGAACAAGACGTGGAAAATGTTAGGTTAGTGAACATATCAACAATGATAATAGTGATTATTTATTTCTCCATACTACACTGTGTTTGACTTGATAATCAAATGAAGCTAAACAACATCCTTTGTTGAGACAAAAACCGATTGCTTGCCGTGATTATACAAAAACATGTTATCCATCCCGAGAATAACGATTGAAATACAGATCAAGCAAGTATTTGAATCTTGAAGGCTTCCCTGATCAAAACAAAAATACTTAACTGAGATGTTTATAATTCCAATACCAAACTATTATAATAAGGTGTATTTATATATCTCCAGCATGGGTATGAAATGCCAAATCTGCTGAAATCGGAAACAAATCAGGTATGTGTCTCAACCCAAATAACCAACCGTCACAATGTTGTTCATTCTCGATGACGTCCAGTACATCCTTTTTAGTTCCTAGGAGCTAAAGTTCAACTTTAGCTCCTAGGAACTAAAATTCAACTTTAGCTCCTAGGAACTAAATATGTTGCCTAGCAACATACCTATTTTTGTGTCAGTAATAGAAACGTCAATTTAAGAGCTAATTTTGGTATCAAAATGGACGACTTTTGTGTCGGTTGCAGAAAAAAGTTTTTAATAATTAAAAAATACAGGTCATTGATTTATACTTTGATTATATCTTGATTTTTATTTGAATTTGTTATCTCTGAAGGTAACTTCCAATGCAATTTTCATCCAGCCCTTCACTCATGATGGCATGACCAAGGGAGATAGGGATTCATTTTTATAGATACTATAGATAGATTTTAATTTCTTCAACTCACCTAATTATATAATCTAGAATGACAAGACGTTCAAATTGCAATTGGAATTTTTTGGCTAGATCAGGTGGCAGAGGGTCTCCTTCAAACCTCCTCAGCCAATAATCTGCATCTTTGTAACCATCCACAAACAACTGGAATGAACCTTTCTAAAAAAAAATCATTCAGAAAAAAGTCAATAAGAATTCAATACCAAAAGAAATATTAAATCAACAAATAATGTGACTATGTTTAATAGCTGTAGTTGAAACAATTTCATCCATTATTCTTCAGCTTCAAACTCACATCTCTATATCATTTCTAATATGTTTTTTCACAAAAAAAAATGGCTCCAACTTCTCACCTTAGGTGGTAGTCCTATCCTATTGAATCTTAAACCAACATTAGGAAATTGTTCCATGATAGCTCTTTTCACTCTAGCTTTCTGCCTGTCTATCCTAAAATAGTTGAAAGTTTCTGATACTAACTTAACCACCTGAAAACAAAATTGACCATAAAAAAATAAACCAAGCTTGGGCCATGAAATTATTGAATAACAATCCTCACTCTGGTTTTGGGCACAATGTTGAGACTCAGTTTATGATCCACTAGATAGGCTGCAGCCTCTGACAGGTAACCTTGGTTGGGTATCAAACAAGACCTGCCAAAACAACAAGGACAGCACAACTTGTGCATCCATTTTGTCCATTTTGGATTCAGCCTGCCATAAGGTTCTTCATCTTTGGGTTTGAACACAGCAATTATTTTCTGAAAAGAATCAGCTTGAAAAATGTCCTCAGGATATATGTTATTGATTACAGAAATTCCAAAGGATCTAAAATTTCTTTAGAGCTTGTGAAAAATTAGAAAGAAACCACAGGAAAGGAATCTCAGGTTACAATGATATCATGTTACCTACATAAACAACTGAAGCCAGTTCAAGTGAATTGAAGAGGAAAACAAATGAAGCATGATAGCCTAAGGAAAATTCTGAAATGAGAATGAATGTATTTGATTCCATACTAGAACAATTATTATATTCCTATATCCTAGGCAAAATCATATCTTGAGAAATCATCATTTACAACACCAGGAAAATAAATTGCTCAACATATAACAAAGAATCCTTTGTTGACTGGTTTATAAATTGCATATTTGAGATAAGTAAATATTATTGAGTTCACAGGAAGTTCAACTTTAGACTGATGGTGTGAAATCAATGCAAATAATTGCTGAAGCAAACCATGCCCTCAACTAAATGTAATCAGTCATTGAATATGGCCTTCATAAACTTACTAATGATTACAAAAAATACATGAAAAACAAATATGTAGGTGTCTGAATGAAATTTAATGGGAATGCATCCTTATCTATCACTTGATAGTGGAAATGATAACCCTTGTGGCAATCAATACCAGTGAAACTTTTTCAAAACAACAGAAAATATGTCAACTAACAGTTCATATGCAAATGAATATGAATATATGAATATGAAACAAATATTACTCTTGAAATCTCTTTTTACATTGTATGAGTCTCACCAAAGACTAAACACAATAGATTCATCAGTGTACTCTCCCCTTGAGACTCAATTTTGATATCTGCTTTCACATCTTCTACAGCTGAATCCTTAAAGCTGTAGCTATGATTTCAAGCAATTTCCTAACCCCAACAATTCCTAGAATGACTCACCCCAGATTGGTTTTTAACAAAGTATGACCCACTGGAACCCTGAGATATCCTTTCTGGAAAGATCCCATGATCAATAGCAACTTCAGCCTGCCAAACCAAATCACTGAAAGCTGGATCATCTGAAAACAGTACAAGATGAGTCCAAATCACTTCCAGCAGGGCAGTGGAATGTGTTTACCAGGAAACTGGTTATAAGAGACATCCAGCCCCCCTAAGAGAGGCTGTGATTCTCTGTTGATCCCCGGGGAATCCAAAGCTGATTCGAAGGCAACCTCTGGCACCAGTGGAACGTCTTCTGCGTCGCTACAACTTACGGATCGGGCACCCTGAGCTTCGATTTCCGACGAGGTATTTATCAGGATAGGAACTGTCTCACTGGCACTCATCACCCGGTCTCGTTACTTTTTCTACGACTGCAAACATCTACTTTGATCAGTGCTTTGATATGGCTTGATATTTTTTCTGTCGATTTTCAACATGTGTGTGTTTTTTGGTGTAATTGACTTGGTTTTAGGGGTTTTTGGTAACACAGTGGCTGAAATGTTTCTTTATATCAACTGGAAAGTTTTTTTTGGGGGAACAAAAACGTTGACATCATATTTCATTAACTCAATTTAACAATTTTTGACATTTCGAGTTTTGACAAATTCCATGACGTCAGCACAACAGCCAGTTTGGTGTGTTCCTTGGGTGTGTTCGACTTCTATAAATCAAACCAATTCGGTGTGACCTGAGGATGAGATATCAAATGCAATGACGGCTAGATATCTAGACTGTCTGACGGGTTATACAGTCTAGTTATTTAGCCGTCATTGGCAGTGCAGCTTCTAGAATCGTTCGTTGTTCCTAGGGTCCCTATCAAGGGACCCTAGTTGTTCGAATACAAGAAAAAGTCATTTTTATGAATTTTATATATTAGGAAAATGTATTAGCAACTATTGATAAATAAGACCTAGAACTTATCAACTAAATTAAGGATATGCTGCTGCTCCACATCCCTCCATTCTTTATCACCTTCTTCTCCCAAATTCCCCGCATACTCCCGCATGATGTGCTTGATGGTTTTCAGTGAAGCCCCGCGCAAATTCAAAATCTGCATGACCCGCTGTTTGATGCTCGCCGGCCCAGCTGCACAAACTTCCACTATAACATAGTCCACCAGTTGCAGGGTGAACAGCCCCCCTTCCAAACGCCTCAAATATACCGCATCATCGTCCTCTTCGTTGTCTTCGAGGTTATTATCGACGTTTTCCACCTTTTCTAAATACTTGAAGTGCAGCTCGAGAAGCCTGTCGACTTTCTCGTGATCGTTCTCCGTGAACTTGCTGACCAGTCTCTGTCTTTGAGACCCCCTGCAGTTCCTGAGCATCGAAGCTATAATGGAACTAACGTGCTCCTCGTGCTCCTCCGTGGAAAGCACTTTTCTGCGGTTGCGTTTGGGCGTTTTCATGAACAGGGGGAAGATGGTTCGCAGCCCGAGGATGTCCACGAACTTGTTGCAATTGTCTTTGCCGCTGGGGCCCGACATGGCGTAATCAAGGACTTTGAGGGAGCCGTTTCGGGACATTTTCTTCTCGCGCAGCATCAGATTCATCAGCTGGAGCCCTTCGCCCTTGAGGAACCTGTCGCGGTTCTGTACGACCATTAAGGCGCTGCAGAGGGAGTTGAATAAGTTCTCCATCAGTTCGTGCTCCTCTGCGCTGTTGGGGTCGTGCCTTTTGTAGAAAGCTAGCTGTTGCAGCAGGCCATCGATGCCGTCTAAGTCACCGAGAGCCAGCCTGTTTTTTTCGTTGTCTTGCAGGAGTATCGACAGCATTTCACTGGCGTATAACTTGTTGCCATCGAAGGGGGCTTTGACCTTCAAGCGCTTCAGCAGCCAGGCTAGGAGGCCTTGTTTTGTGGCCTCGTTTGTTATTTCTGTTCTCAATTCGATGAGGTTTTCGATTATGGAGAGGGTGTTGTGAACGCCGTCGGCTTCTTCTTTTACTGTCTCGTCTAAGCGTTCCAGGTTTTGTACTAGCAGGGCTATCACTTGGTGTTCTAGTAGAGCTTCTATCAAGGCGTCTGCACCTTCTTCAGATTCATTGAGGATGTCCACGTCTGTTAGCTCTTGGAGTAGTTCAACTGTACCCACCTGTAGAATGTGAAGATAAACGATGACAGAAATCTTAGGATGTATTCGCGGTCGCCAAGGTCATTAGATGACGTTCTGATGACATTAAAAACTAAGGGAAAACGAGTCTAATTTTAAATCTATGCCAGGATTAGGATGTATTTCCGTAGTTTTTACTGTCATCCCAACATCACCTGATGACCTTGGCGACCGCGAATACTTTGCATAACAAATCTTCCGTGTTCAAGGCCATGTCAGAGGAAACACCCTGTATATAAAATGTGTATCTACTTTTACTAGGGACTGGAGAGGAAAATGAAACTCAATTCGATTTATTGTCAGAAATATTTGCATAACACAAACAATAATCAACATCCAAGAAATAAAATACATAGGATTATTGTTCTGGTCATTGATACTTACTGATATATCTGTGTTATCATGTGATAAGAGTTCCAAAAGGCTGGGAACCACTTGTAGTTTAACAAGTAAAGGGTAAAAATCGGGTGCTGTGGCAAGAACTCTCATTTCTTGTAGGGTTTCATGTAGTTCCACTTCACTTTCCATGAATTTTTCAGGTGAATCTGGGAACTTAATTCTCATCTCCCTGTTTCTGAGGCTACGCTTTTCAAAGTTGAGTACTATTTTTTTCAATGCAGTTTCATCAATAACTTCGCCCTTGAAAGAAAGAGATTATTGTCCTAGACTGAGTAGTATTGATATTTTACTTGTGTCTGTTCAGTTTCCACAAACTTCAAAATTTCAGCTCTTTCTTCAGCAGAGATGTTATCCAGAGGTTGTGAAGGAGTAGGAGATACTGGTCTTGCCATTTTGCTAGCTTTTGCTCTAGCAATTCGACGCATTTTACGTGCTTTTTCATGATCATTCTCATCCTCATCAACATCTACATGCCTCTTGAGAGCTTGAGGAGGCTACAATAATAAAAAAAGGTCAATAATGATAAAGAAAGATCCTCCTACTATTACCTTGTAATCCAAAAGTTCTCCAATATCCATTTTTCAATAATATATTATATCAATCTAATGGAATTGAAACTATTGTTTTTGAATTTGTCAGAAAATAAATAAATATAGAAAGTGAGGTTAATATAGAAACAAAAAAGTTTCTATCTGTCAATAGGATAGTAGCAAAGATCACTTAGGACAACATTTTTAGACCAAGAGAAGAAGAACAGGAAGAGGAGGAGAATAATGATATTGATTAGAAGAATTTGGCTGGGTGTCCAATCTGGACAAGAGGCCAAGAAACGTAGAAGAAGAAGATTAGCAGAAGAAGAAAAGAAGAAGACGTGACAGGTGAACCGTACGTCACTTACGTCAAATTTATGGCGTATACTTTGAAAATATGCCAACAAATCAACAAAACTTCTTTTGATTCGATTATTCTGATGTGAAATTTGCAAAATCCTCCAAAAATGGACTCGAACATCTCAAAATACGCAGATATGCAAAAAGCCATTCAAATGGAACTGGAAAAACTTGAGACAGAGGAGGCTACACTGATTGAGGGCTTGAATAACATGTTGAATCAGAAAGTGTTCCTAGAAGACAAAGTTAAAGGACTTTCAAAGCTCATTCCGTCGCTCAAAGTCATAAAAAATGAAGCACAGGACCTGGTGAATACAGTCAATGATATATCAGACTCCTCAGAAAAAATCAGCAGTAAAATTCGATCTCTAGATAAAGCAAGAGTAAGTATACCATATAAAGGCACTGAAAAGTAGTAAAGCACCAATTTTTTCTCTTAGAGTCGTGTAGATGAGTGTCAGCTAAGAGTGAGTGATCTGATTGACCTAGAAATATGCTCTCAAGGTGTACAAGCAGCTATTTTAGACTCTGACTATGAAAAAGGTGCTGCCCATGTTCACAGGTTCTTATCTATGGACCAGTCACTCTTGAAAAGGACTGCCAATGATATGGACAATGTCAGTAACATGCTCAAGTCTGTGAGGACTCTGCAAGATGCTGCTAGTCAATTGAGAGCCATAGTTGAGCATAAATTCAATGAAGCTGTCACCACAGAAGATTTACTGTCCATTGAGAGATTCTTCAAAATTTTTCCACTTTTGGGAATGCATGAAGAGGGGATCAAGGAGTTTTGCACTTACTTGAGGTCTAAAGTTTGCTTAGTAGCTGATAAAAATTTGAAATCTGCAATAAACACACCAGTTTCTGATAAACGGTATAGTGTTATCTATGCAGACACTTTAACATTGCTGTTTGAAGGACTGGCTAGAGTTTTGGACAAGCACCAGCCTCTCATTGAAACATACTATGGACCTGGTAGGTTGTTGTCTGCTATTTCTATTCTGCAGAAAGAGTGTGATGTGCAAACAAAGAGGGTATTGCTTGAGTGGGCAAGATCCAGACAGATCCACAAGAAGGTGCAGCAAATTAATGAACTGTCTAGAATGAGTTCCAGCTCCAGCTTTTCCAAAATGGAGAAAATTGATCCTAAGGATTTGGATATTCTTATTGGTGAAATAACACTGATGCATTATAGAACAGAGCTCTATATCAAGTTTATACAAAGAAAAGTTACTGTGAGTAATATACTATTATGATTATAATGCTTTTTTCACTATTTTCAATGCATTTCACTTTCAATATAATTTTTGAAACATGGAAAATGAGTCACCCTGCATTAATTTGAAGTTATGTTTTCTTTATCGAAATTGATATTTTTCAATTTCTACTTTTCTAGTCAGATGCAGATGTTGGTATACCAAATCAAGATGAAAGAACCAAGGTTGTGCAATCCTTGGAAAAACTTATCAAAAACAGTGAACTCAGTCAATGCAAACATGAACTGCTATCTCATTATCTTAGGTTAGAACAGTACTACATGGAAGAATCTGTAGCAAAAGCAGTAGCAATGGACACACTAGAACCTGGACAGCAAACTTCAAGCATGGTTGATGACACATTTTTCATCATCAGAAAATGCATCAGGTACCAAAACACTCAAGTTTATTGACTTTATACCACTCTATACAATTTTTTATTAGACGTTCTATATCCACTGGTTCTCTTGATGGTATTTGCGTCATAATAAACAATGCTTGTCGCGTTTTGGAAAGTGATTTTGGGGAAATTTTGCGCCAAAGGTTGAGGCAAGGGTATCCCTCGGGGTACTTGGACTTGACTCAAGCCTACAATGTTCTGCATACCTCCATACAGCAAGGGAGGCTCCAGTCTGGGGACACTGAACAGTCAAGAACTGCTTTTGTGGTGAGTACTTGTTGAACAACCTGTTGAATAACCTGTTGAATAACCTGTTGAATAACCTGTTGAATAACCTGTTGAATAACCTGTTGAATAACCTGTTGAATAACCTGTTGAATAACCTGTTGAATAACCTGTTGAATAACCTGCTGAATAACTGTTGAAAACCTGTTATATGACTAACTGAATTATTTTCATATTGAAAGATGATGAGGATATATCTTACTTAATGATTTTCAAAAACACATTATGTCTTGAGGAATATAGCTGAATATTTCCCGTTTTTAGTAGAACCTGTTGAATAATGTTTTGATAAATCACTTCAAGTTGTATGGCAATAAATAGGAAATTGAGAATATTGTAACTAAATAACTTTCTTCAATGTAGAAATACTACAAATTTTTAACAACCTGTTGATATTTCACTACCTGTTGATTTTTCAAGAACCTGTTGATTTATAACTTACTGAATAATTTTGAAATTGAATTTATTTGAACAATTTGCTCAAATACTATACTTGCTGAATATGTTGAAACTGATAATATCTCAAGGATTGTAGTTGAATATATGAATTATACAGTGTCATTCATAAAGTCGGCATCATATGGGAAAAACTTTTATTAATGACTTATTTTGAAATTCGAGTTGGACGTTAAGTTTTGCTTCAAAAAAGATGAAAAATGGCCTACTCCATCGGGGTCACGTGACTTCCCCTACATGTCAAAAGTTACATTTTTTCAAACTAATCGCTGAAAGTAGGCTTATTTGTTCGAATATCGAAAAAGTTTACTTGAAAAAGTTGTTTCTATTTAAATTTTACATATGTGACTCGGATTTTATCTTTCTATTACATTTTTTAGATTTCGATATTTTTTGAAAATTTTCGAAATTTCTGTAATATTAAAAAAATTGTGAATTCGATAAAACAACTTCATGCCAGTAGTTTCATCATGCTACTAACTCTCAATTACTAATTATCACTAATTATCGACAAAAATATGATTTTCTTCAGAAAATGATAATCTCCGCTTCAAAATTCTGTTATGTTTGATGCAACCATAACATCAAAATTCTATTACGTTTGAGTCAAACATTTAGAAACGAAATTTATTCAAATTTTTTTTCAGTACTGAAAAGATCAGTTTTAATGAATTTCGTTTCTAAATGCTTGACGATATATCAAATTTGCATCAAACATAACAGAATTTGTAAGCGGGTATTACCATTTTCTGAAGAAAATCATATTTCTGTCCATAATCAGTGATAATAAGTAATTGAAAGTAAGTAGCATGAAAAAGCTACTGGTATGAAGTAGTTTCGTGGAATTAACAATTCATCAAATATTACAATAGAAAGATCAAATTTGAGAATAATGTGTAAAATTGGAATAGAAACAACTTTTTCAAGTAAACTTTTTCGATATTCGAACAAATAAGCCTACTTTCAGCGATTAATTTGAAAAAATGTCACTTTTGACATGTAGCGAAAGTCACGTGACTTCGATTGAGTAGGCCATTCTCCATCTTTTTTGAAGCATAACTTAACGTCCACCTGGAATTCCAAAATAAGTCATTAATAAAAGTTTTTCCCATATGATGCCGACTTTATGAATGACACTGTATAGATATAATGATTTATTTTAACAACCTGTTGAAACATGTACCCAATAATTAGTTAAATGGCTTTAAATATCCTGATATCTTGTAGCTGAATTCTAGCTAAGGTGGCTAAAAACTCATTCCTGTAGAAATCATGAAAAATTTTTAACAACCTGTTGAATAATCCATTGATGAATGACTTTAAGTTGAATGATCCTAAAGGATAATATACTGTAGTAAAAGTAATGTTTTTGTTTTGAATCTCTTGAATAATCTGTTGAAGAATATCTTCAAATTGTAGTCCATAATAGTTGAATGTTTTGGTGATATTCAAGGTGGCTTTGAATAACGCCGATAGTAGCACAGACTACATAGACGCCCTGTGTGAGTATGTGATGAAAGAAATTGGGCAGTCCGTACCGAATTTGAACGCAAATGAAAAGGGAAAACTAGAAAGCTGCCTTTCTGGTCTGTCATCTGTTACTACCAACCTCAAGGACTTGATTGAATATGGCACTCAGCAGCTGAGGTCTACTGCAATCAAACCCAGGATAAATCCTTGGGTGGATGCTTTTTTGAATGCTAACCATCACTTGACAGAGGTGAGGAATCTGTTGTAGTCAATAGAATCGGAACATAATCACATCTTGAATTCCCTAATTCTGACGAAGGAATCATAATTTCTGATCCCGAAAATGCCCACTTACAAATTTTGAATATAATCGGTAAATAACTACAAAACTCGTCCGGTATATTGGTTCCACCGTCTTGAATTTCCAAATCCCGCCCTTTCCAAATTTCGACGAAAGAATCATTATCTCCGACCCCGAAAACACCCAGATAACAATTTTGAAGAGAGTCGGATCATAATTACAATACTCGTACGCCATACTGGGTCCGCCATCTTGAAGTTCCTAATTTTGACGAGAGAATCATAATCTCCGACCCCGAGAACCACCAGATACCAAATTTGTATAAAATCGGATCCTAATCACAAAATCCGCCATTTTTGATCCGCCATCTTGAATTTCTTAATTTTGACGAAGAAATCATGATCCCCGATCACGAAAACCCCTAGGTACCAATTTTGAAAAGAATCTGACTATAATTACAAAACTCGTCCGCCATATTGGTTTCGCCATCGTGAATTTTCGAATTCCGTCCGAATTTTCAAATTCTGACGAAAGAACCATAATCTCCGACCCCGAAAACCCCCAGATACCAATTTTGAATAGAATCGGACCATATCTACAAAACTCGTACGATTTATCAGATCCGCCATCTTGAATTTCCTAATGGTACCTGAAAAAAGGTATTCTATAACCTCCTCTCTTTAGCTAACCTAACCTGCCAATGGTGCTGTCAGGCCGAATAGGCCAACTGCCATAGAATGGAGGCTAGCTAAAGAGATATCGAGGCCAAACAGAATTAGGTGGGCTATTAATAAATTTAAACCTTATAAATCCCCTGGAGTAGATGGAATATACCCCATCCTGCTTCAAAAGGGGCAGGAAATACTAATTCCACATTTGTGTCGTATATTCAAGGCTTGTATAGCAATACGATATATACCCATAGTATGGCAGAAGGTGACAGTCATCTACCTTCCCAAAGTGGGAAAGGTGGGTGACAAAACGCCAAAATCATACCGCCCAATAAGTCTAATGTCGTTCCTGCTCAAAACGCTGGAAAGACTGATAGACAGATACATAAGAGACGAGGTATTACAAAGAAACCCGCTCAACGAACGCCAATATGCGTATCAGCCAGGCAAGTCAACTGACTTAGCACTGGATGATCTGAACAGGCTACTCGCAAAGTCGATAGAGGACAAAGAAATAGCTATAACAACATTCGTAGACATAGAAGGTGCTTTCAATAACGCATCAACAAATTCTATAATTAATGCCCTAGCAAGGAAAGGAGTACCGCTACTCCTGTGCCAGTGGATAAATGTCAATTTGAAAAATAGGGTTATCATATCCACAATTGGCGAGACAACTCTGACAGCTAGAGCAGATAGGGGATGCCCACAGGGAGGAGTATTATCGCCCCTACTATGGGCCATTCTAATGGACGAACTGATCAAAAGGCTAACATCCAAAGGGTATTATTGCTTAGGATATGCCGACGACCTGGCGGTTATCGCTAGAGGTAGATTCGCAAGTACGGTCTCGGAGCTCACACAAATCGCTCTAAACATAATTGACAATTGGTGTAAAGAGGAGGAACTCACCGTGAACCCTCATAAAACCACTATAGTGAATTTCACGAAAAAGAGAGTACTGGAAGGATTATAGTCACCAGTACTCAACGGGGTAGAAATTCCGTTCGCCCTAGAGGCAAAATACTTAGGAGTCATCTTTGACCATAAGTTAACATGGAATCAACACCTACAAAAAATTGTTCAAAAAAGTACAGTAGCCTTCAATCTGTGCAGACGAATGTGCGGGAAAAATTGGGGACTGCAACCAAAAATGACCACATGGCTCTATGCCAGCGTCATCAGGCCTATGATAGCATATGGGTCAGTAGATTGGTGGCCAAAGACACAACAGGCTGGAGTGATTCGAAGGCTCAGTGCTATTCAAAGGCAAGCTTGCCTGAGTGCCACTGGTGCAATGAAAACCACTCCAACAGCCGCTTTAGAGGTCCTCTTGAACCTACCACCACTACAAATATATATTCAAGGCGAAGCCAGAGCAGTCGTGAGTAGATTGTCAAGCGGTCAAGCACCCATAAGCAACGCGCACGGTAAAGACTATAGAAAGCTATATGAAGAGTTGGAAAGCGACCCCATCATGGGAATGCCAACGGATGGCATAATTCCAAAATATAGTTTTGAAAAAACTTTTAAAATAAGTATAACGGACAGAGAGGCATGGAAGGAAGGACCTCCTATCAATGCAGACATTGCTGTCTATACGGACGGCTCCAAAACTGAGTTTGGATCAGGAGCTGGTATTTATGGGGCCAAGCCAAAGACAAGAATCTCACTGAGCTTAGGTAAATACGCGACGGTGTTTCAGGCAGAAATTATTGCAATACATCATTGCGTGAAAGAATTGATAAGGCAAGAGTTTAAAGGCAAAACCATTGCAATCTATTCAGATAGCCAGGCGGCAATCAAAGCAGTCAACTCTATGCAAGTTAACTCAAAACTAGTATGGGACTGCTTAGAAACCCTAAATGCACTGGGCAGTCAGAACAGACTGACTCTAGCATGGGTACCAGCACATACAGGGTACGAGGGCAATGAAGAGGCAGACTCACTTGCCCGAGCAGGAGCAAACAAAGCTCTGAATGGCCCAGAACCCTTCTGTGGTATTGCGAAAGCTATACAAAAGACTAGTATCAAATCATGGATGCAAACCAAATCTCAAGAATGGTGGAACAAATCGCCAGGAATGAGACAGGCAAAAGAGTTTATTAAAAAACCATCGCCAACATTCACAGAATATCTACTAAGCCAGAAACGAAGTTCAACTAGAATACTAGTGGGACTTCTCACAGGGCATTGTAGGCTCAACAAACACATGAGTACGATAGGTCTGACTGAAGAACTGCTGTGCAGGTTCTGTCAGGAAGAGGAGGAAACAGCAGTACACATACTTTGCCACTGTGAGGGCTTGTCAAGACTAAGGTTCCTTACGCTGGGTGAGGAAAAACCAGAAGCCCAGAGATACACAGGGGATCTGAAAGCTAGCCTATGGAGTCTCATAGAGAAGACGGGGCTAGCCGAAGAACTCTAATCGATTTTGAGGGCAGACACAATAGATCTGAAAAGGTCGCGGTGTGGAGGCAGATAGCCCGAAGGCCCCATTCTAAATCTAATCTAATCTTCTCCTGGTACTAAGCTACCTCCCCGGAGCCTATTCAATACATACAAACAAGCAAATCTTTCCTCTTTCTATGAGTTGTAGTGAAATGAATCATAATTGTTGTGAAATAATACTAACACATGAACAAGACATTTTTTGTTTTTGCAGTTGTACAAATTTTAGGATTAGCTCATTTTTTGTAGGATGAATTATCAGCTTATGAGGCAGGAGAGTCTTTTGTTCAGACTTTGATTATGAATTTGGAGACTCTGCTGTCTTCTTTCAAGGACATCCTGTCTTCGTCGAATTATGATTTATTCACACAGGTGCTTACTGCTGAGGTGACAAATAGGTTTGAGAAGGTCATCAAAAAGTGCACTTTCAATAGGGTGAGTCAATAATAATAATAATACATAGTAGCAATCTTTATTATTTTGTATGCTATCTTTTATTCTGACCATGGAAAGAAAATTGATCAGTTACAAAAAGGAAAAAACATGGAAAACCATTCGATAGAGCAATGACTTGGACTTGGACACAAATGTTGGGAGGGATTTGAGAACAGAAAAATAATTCAATAACCTTTATAGTAGAGAGGAATTTGCAGAAGACAATGATTATTGTCAGTACACCTTTTTCGGGTTTTCAACAAAAAATGAGTCATCTCATGAATATCGCCTTATATTTTGAGAACACTAAAAGTATTCAAAGATATAACGACAAAATAATAGAGAAAACATACGATATTATTCAAATTGGGCAACATTTGTATATGGACCATTTTGATAATAGAGAACATGATATTTCAATGAATGATTTTCAGTAAAAATAGTAGTTCATAGTGCCGAACGAAATCGTGAGTTATAAGGAGGTCGGTACACTCTCCTCGTTAAGGTACCTGTCGTGTTTCTCAAAGTGAAAGTGACATTTCAGACTCCACTCAAGGCACTATCTGGTTATCTAGTGTTGGACCATTGTCGTTCTAGATGACAAGCTAAGGAAAGAAAGTCCACTTTGAGTATTTGGCTTTTTCCTATTTGAAAATACGCCAGTCGGGCAACCAGCCACTCCCATTTCGCCTTTGTTTTGGAGTGTTTCTTTCCTTGCCCGGTGGCGTTCGCGTTTCATTTCGCGGACGTTGAACGCCTCGTGGGGCATAAACGCTGAGATGCGTTCACGTTGGGTCAGGTGCGCCTCAGATAGCGGTCAAGAAGCTATCTGGGACAGCCCTGATGTACTGATGAGAGCCAACAGCTCGAAACCGGTCTGCAGGTGGTAGTCACGCATTCCTGAACCACTTAGGCGCTGCTCGGCGTTTAGGAAGGAAACACTTGCGATTTTATTCGTCTATGCGTGGCATATAGCCAGGAAAGTAGTTGTTTTTCTCTCATTATCTACCATTTTCGTTCATTTTATGGACTATTGTGGTCGAGATTGTGGTAATAACTTTGAATTTCTCTCTATTTGTAACTATTGAGGTATTCCAGTACCATATATTTCAAGATATATTCTTTGTAGACATGACTGGAAGGCCTTTTTTTTCCAGCTGGGTGGTTTAGTGTTGGACAAAGAGGTACGATCGCTGGCCGGGTACATGACCGCCAACACTTCTTGGTCTGTGAGAGACAAGTTCGCTAGGCTGACGCAAATGGCGACCGTGCTGAATTTGGAACAGGTGGCCGAGATCCACGACTACTGGGGCAGCCACGATGGGGCCCTGACTTGGCGATTGACCCCTTCTGAACTCAGAAGTGTCTTATCTTTGAGGTAATGGCGGATTTATGCAACATTTGCATAGTCCTAAGTCTTAGTTCTAAAAGCATAGTCTTAGTATTAATTTTTGTCTTAAAGATTTGAGGTATTTATCCAGAAACTTTAAAATTTGATTTAACCATAAGAGTCATGTGAGAATTTGTGGTTCTTTCTGTATCAGATATGAGGCAAATTATCTATCAAACATACAAGTTCAAATTAATCAACTTTCAAGATCGTTTCTTAGACTTGTGCTTATGCTTAAGACTGAAATTGGTGTGTAAACGGCCTCATGCAAGTACCTTGTCTCAACTTCTAGTTATGCTCAAAATTATGACTAAGACTATGCAAATGTTGCATAAATCCACCATAAGAGACAATTATTGTTATTATTCGTTTCTGTTGGTGATGATTTTTATTGTTTTTTGGGGTAAAACTGCACTCATCATGCGATGGTTTTTTTTCGAAATTTTCTTTGGTACTTACGTATTCTCGTCTGAAAAACGCGAATTTGACAATGAAAATGTGAACAAACCGCTATTTAGCGAGATATTTCATGGAAAAGTGCGAAATTTTACTTTCTTTTGCAACCCATCTAGGATATATTCATTTACAACTACTTGTCCTTCTTGTTCCATTACCCGAGAATGCTCGCACCACAGTCGTTTTGCCGCCAAGCATTAATTTTGCCCCTCCCACATTTATTTGGGCCGGGATTTTACGACCCGCTCACAAGTCTTCCTAAGTCGAACCGGCGGGCCAGTTCACGTTTGGTTTCGGTCAGAGGGTGTTGTTTGGAGCTGAAAATTGACAATTGGTCGTTTCCACCGACGCGCGAGCATTCAGAGGTTTGTACCGAATTATTCATTGTCTACAAGGAAATTGGGGGTTATAATCAAGTGAATGTGGCAAAATCAATTAGATAATAGTAGATAACTCTTTATTGATACTGAATACCTTTAATAAACAGCACAAATACTGACGAATTTTGGGATTTTCTATAGTCGGTCAAAACGACCAGCCGCGAGCATCAACGTAACTTTTCATTTTTGTTCAGAAATATACCAACTTTGTGTTCATAGTCGATAGAGTTTTCATAAGAAGTGTATCAATAGCTGAAAACCTTTGATAAACACCACAAATACTGACAAATTTGGGGATTTCCTATAGTCGGTCAAAACGACCAGCCGCGAGGATCAACGTAACTTTCTAGGTGCGATTGTTCTCGGTGGACACTTTATATACTCACGTTGTACTTCAATGAGACATTTTATTATCTAAAATTAACAAGAAGTATGGTTTATTTGGATTTTTTTCATATTCAGTGGGGGAACAATAGTTTGGTTTCTCGAGTTTCTTGCGAATTTTTTTGACATTTGACTTTCATTTGACATCTCGTAAATATGTATTTGAGTTCTGTGATTTGTATTTAGATTTGATGATTGAATGATCGTCAGCTGGTGTGATTCTTTACCTCACTAAAATATGAGAAAGTTCCAAATAAACCACACTTCTTGTTGATATTAGTATAAGTTTCCAATGATGGCAAAAGAAGGACAAATAAACATGGTGAAATTTCGCATTTTTTCGTAAAATATCTCAATAGATAGCGGTTTGTTCACATTTTCATTGGGAAATTCGTGTTTTTCATACAAAAATTCGTATATGAGTACAAAAAAAAAAAAAATTTCATCGGTTCATTTTATTTTAGAACGGATTTCAAAGTGGAAGATATAAGAAGACTGAAGCTTTAAATTGACGATGTATTCCTGAATATTTGATGAATGTGATACCTGTGATGGTTTGTACTAAGTACCTACTGATTCTTTTTGAATAAAAATAAATGTGTATGGAAAATTATTTTTAGTATTTTTTTTATTGTATAATCCATAATGAGATACTTTTACTTATAACTTTTTATCAGTGTGTTTCTTCGATCATTGATTATTACACTATGATTCTTGAATTGCGTTAGTTTTATTGGAAAATTACAGTACAACGTTATTTTATACAATATGTGATTAATTTAAAATATTGCTCGGAAATTTATGAAAAATGTTCGAAAACACCTCGTTTTCTGAATAAAAAGTGTTGAAATTTCGTAAAGCCACCCTAGATTTTGTCTCAATATGTTTGAAAACGAAGGGAAATACTATTTATAAAAAAAACTATAAAACTAGCAAAAAATCTACTTGTTGCTAGTTTTTGTAAAAAACATTTTCCGACTAACTCCCTGAGCATGTCAACAGAGATAAAATGTAAAACTTTTTTCCCGTGTCACAGAAAAAACATATTATGAACTTTGTATTTTTTTATATAGACATCCAAAAGTCACTTACTGATACACAGAAAACAATAAGTGAAACCATTTCCCTGGACAGTCATGTAATTATGGACAACAGATGTTTCGTTTCTCACAGTCATTAGAGAAATTATTTAATGTAGACCAATAATCGATTTTTTGCCAGTCTACGAGGTTCCTATAAGGATATAAAGTATCAATTAGAGCTCACTATATTAAATGTGCAGCAGGATACTAATGTTTTATTCACCTATAGATCTAAGAAAATTACGAAATGATTTTTTCGGCAATCGTCCGGAAAGAACCCACTTTTCGCACGATTTTCCTTCGAGAAAGTAGCACTTTTCTGGGCCTGTCCTGCAGGAATTGCTGTTCATTTGGGAAAAGTAAGAGAGCAAATCCATTGATGAAGTGACGAGTCCTTAAGGACGAGTGATTCATCTGAATTCGGTTTTTCTGAATGGTTTTGCCTCAATTAAAAATGTTTTGATTCATGAAAATCGAAAAGTATCGGTTGTAATTACATAAATATTACTGATAATTTCTGTAAGAAAGCGTGTTGTCTAAAACTTGCAAGAGTTATTTTTGTAAAAAAGTCCTCTTTCTTCGGACTCTGGCTCTTTCGCCAAAACATGAAAAAAATGCAAAATGCAATTTGTATGCTTAAATGCAAAATTATCTGGTTATTTTTATGCACGAATGTAGTTGGAATATTTCACGAATAAGAAAATTCTCTAATAAATGTTTTTTTGTATGGAGCATTCACCAAAACGCGACATTTTGAGATGAGATCTTTTATACAGGGTGATTCAGGTTTTAAGGCACAAACTGAAAAGGAAGATAGATCTCATCATTTTGATCAAAAAAGTTTATATAAACATTAGTCCGATCTCGTTCAATTGCGAAGCTACAGGGGGTCAAAGCTCAATTATTTTTTTCTATTAATTGAGATATCTCGCTTACTTTTTAAGATATTATTTTGAAATTCGGTGTGGTCAGTACTTCCTAGAAGATCATCATTTCAAGCCATTGAAAGATTTTCAAAATCTACAGGATGATACGTTTTTGGGGGGAGAGGCTTCCTTATTCCCCCCAAACTTTTCCGTAGTACGCCTCTGGCATCTTTCAGTGATCAAATTGTGTGGATCGTTCAATTCAGAAGCTTTTTTGGTCTTCAATTTTTTTCGAGAAACGAACCGTTTTTGAGATAAATAAGCATATACGTTCTAAAACATGTTAATTTGGCCTATGTTTCGCTTAAATTTTATTCATCTGAAAAAAAAAACTTGACTTTCTACCCTCTGTACTGATCCAGATTGGACTCGTGATTGCAATTTTAGTGAGTACATTTCATTGCACTTTCAACGAAAATAGTAATAGGCAAAATTAACATGTTTTACAACGTATATGCTTATTTATCTCAAAAACGGTTCTTTTCTAAAAAAAAAAAAAAAATGAAAGAGCAAAAAAGCCTCTAAATTGAACGATCCACACAATTTGATCACTGAAAGATGCCAGAGGCGTACTACGAAAAAGTTTGAGGGGGATAAAGAAGTCTCTACCCCCAAAAATGTATCATTCTGTAGATTTTAAAGATCTATAAATGGCTTGAAATGATGATCTTCTAGAAAGTATTGACCACACCAAATTTCAAAGCGATATCTTGAAAGGTGAGCGAGATATTTCAATTAATAGAAAAAAATAATTCAACTTTGACCCCCTGTAGCTTCGCTAAACGAGATCGGACTAATGTTTATATAAACTTTTTTGATTAAAATGATTAGATCTATCACCCATTTCAGTTTGTGCCTTAAAACCTGAATCACCCTGTAGTTGTATTAGAAAATGGTCAGATTTTGACAAGTGAAAAAATAATCAGTGAAAGTCATGTTTGTATGTTAAAGCGATTATAGATTCTATCGCCACAGAGTTGTATTTTCGATGAACTAAACTGTACATTCTACCAATATATCGCTAGAATGTTTTTTTAGGATTACTTATGAAAACTGATAGCACAATTTATGAAACTCTACTTTGTTTGATGTTCATGAAATAACCATTATATGCCATACTTTTCCGATTATTCCATCCTCTGCTAAATCTGTAATCAATTTTTCATGCATTTTGTATGAGGTATACGTGGCTCGAGATTTGAAGTAGGTAGACTGAAAAAACAGGGCCGAGGCTATCATTTAAATATTCAGTAGTTTTTGGGATCTGATGTCAAAACAATTAGGTGTAAATAATTACCTATACGAGTCTTGCAAACTGGATTACTTATTGAAGGGAAATATTGGTATAGTTTCATATGAATATTTCAGTTTTAATGACTATACAGGGTGCTCCAAGTCATCCTCCATTGATGTGTCTACCGTCGCGTAGATACTGGATGTTGTCTTGTTTTTAGCGAAATCTTTATCATGTCATAAATTTTGAACCACTTGGTAGGTATATTTCACTTATATTACCCATTTAAACTAAATAGGAAATGAAACAATCTGAATCCAGTTTTCAGGAAAAACAGAGACAACTTGAAAATGAAATGCCTATGCAATAAGTATGCAAGCTTCTATTTCGAATGAAGTGTTTCAACAAAAAAAAGGGAATTCAAGAAATAAATTTCACAAGTAGATTGGAAGATATGAAAGAAAAAGTAACAACAACCCTTTGTGGGACATTATTGAATGAAATAACTGAATTTACTGTTCAAAATTTGAGATTGTTTTGAGAGGAAATCATTGAGGACCTTTTGGTCCTCCTTTCATCAATTCACCAGTCGAATTCGCAGCACCCTGTAATATAGGTATCTATATCAAACCTAATAAAACTATAAAAATTTTTAATTTTTCCACAATTCGAACTTTTCTATTATGAATCGAATCGTCATTCGCCATATCTATATCGATCTCGGTTTTCTCGTTTTTTTGCATATACCCAAGGGACGTCATTTCAATGAATATCAGCGGCTTCAAAAAGAAACACAAAAAATCCCTCGCAACGAAAAGAATGCGCCGCAGGCGAATTTTTTGGGGTTCAAGGTCAAATGCATTTAAATTGAGAATTAGATTCCTTTCAGAGTTACAACAACTCCATTTCAGGATTCGAGGTCAAATACCTTAAAATTGAGAATTAAATTTCTGTGGGTGTCTTGAACTCTATTTTTCAGTGTTTACCAGTAATGGGGTCAAGAAAAACTCAGATAAATAAAATTTTTTTCAATTTAGCGAAATAATTCAGAGATTTCCTGATTCACTTAACTTTTTTCATCGTATCGGAATCAACTTCAGCTAGGTATCACTCATAAATGGAAATAAGTTTATCATCAGTCTATTGTATTTTTTACATTTTAGGAAAATTTGCTTCCTTATTCAGGTATATTTTTCATGTATGACACCTACTATTATACTGAATGATGTTTCAAAAATTTTGAAATAATATATATATGTTTTATAGATTACACCCACTAAGCAAAGTAATATCTCAACAATATTGCAGCAATATTTCAATGTTATGTCAGATATTGTCGCTATCTTACTACAAGGTCGCAGCAACTACTGAATCGGACGTTCAGCAATATTATGAATGTAATGTTCGCGAATAAATCATTCCAGCAGAGTTATTGTAACATTGTGTATGAAGTACAGTAACATTTCATATTCAATGAACGAATGTAATCTTATTGTTATATTTCATTAAGGTTACTGGCAACATAAAATAAAAAGTATAGGAAAATTACATATTTTATTTTATAAATTATACATAGCAACAATTTTCTAATAATCGAATAATCGTGTCGACTATTTTATAATTTGAAAGTAGATCGAGAAAATTTCTAAATATTTTCGATATAACGGTACTACGGCTTATAGGCCCTGCACTGCATAAGAACCTGGAACAAAGGAATAATAATGAAATGAAATAGTCAGGAATCTAGTTAGTTGAGTTAGATGCTTTTCAGAAAGAATCTAGATGAATTAAAACTTTTGTAGAAAGTCAGGGGGGGGGGGAGAAGCGATTACCCCCTCCTGCCCCCCTAAATGACGCCTATGCATATACCTTTTCGAAATAAAAATTCCAAAAGCTGACACAGTAAAGTTGATATCATATCGCAACTCAGTTTCCAAAGCTATAAGTACTACCAACAGCGTAACAAAAACGTTGACTCGTATGAGCCTGAGTCACTTGATGATATAAGTTAGATAAAACTAATACCATCCAGTGACTCTAGTATGAGCTCACCTCTTCTGACTTTTTCCCGGGAGTTATGGGATTTTCCCGGACGTTCGGCAACACTGCACGCCGGAAAATCCTGATTCAGATCTTGGAAGCGAACAAGCGAAGCGGTCGCAGTGGCGCTGGAACGCTTGGGAAGCGCGTAGCGCTCCCTGTAAATTTTCACCTGTTGGAAATTCCCGCGAAAATGATCGAGTGTCAAATGGAAACGTGAAAAGTATCACGTATCAACAAATACAATTTTTTATCAAGTTGTTTTTCTTATCTAATAAATCCCTGGTAAAAACTGACTTGAATCGGATATAACTTTAAAAAGTTAATCTGGATCTAGATAGTTATAGGATGTCCTACAGGTAAGTTGCGATTGTTTATAATTTCAAGTATAAATTATTAGTTTGTTGATGAAGTCACCAGTTAGTTTTGCAATTGTTTGAATTGATACTATTATCAGCAACTTTGTTTCCTGAGAGGGGGTTATAGTTTCTTATTCACGAATATTTTTGCTAAGCGCCATGCAATAAACTCTACTAATGAGGGTGATGTGTGATAGTGATCTGGACACACATAATGTTCGTCATCTGGATTTGACTGGTCAAGTTTGGACCAACCCAAATCTTCAAATTATTACTCATATCCGCTAAATGTTTACCGAGTTTACCGGAAACATAAATTTTTGCACCAGTTTATTTTTTAATTATTGTGGGTTAAAGACGCATGAATTCTATTGTATTCGTTCGGTTTTTCGAAGATTTTCCATATCCATTATCACAAAAGCAATAACTAATGATTTCTGTTGTTAGCTCTGATTTTTGTTAGCTGTCATGTAGACTTGGATGCACCGGGTGAAAGAATTCTGATGATATATCTATGATTTCTCTTGACACTCTGTATTATATTATAGCTGTGATTTCTGTTGATAGTGAATGTATTTCATTATAAGTAGTTGCATGTGGTTCATTTTCAGTGCGATTTCCAGACTTTGAAATTTTTGCGGTAGCAGAGATTCATTTTGAGAACATCTGTAATTTCTGATTTTTTAGAGCTGAGGTTTCTTGTGTATATAGTCGCCGTTAGCTGACATTTCTGTTGACACCTATGATTTTTGTTAGTAGCTGAACATGTTTATCGATAGCTGTGTGATTTCTTGCTGATGTCTTCTTGATTGAATTGATCGTATACTCAGCTAGAATATCTGTTGATAGATGTAATTTCTAAAAGAAACTGACTTTTCCATCGATAGCTGTGATGTCTTTGGCCATCTTGTGAAATGATTGAACATAGCTAGAATTTCTGTTGATTATTGAGGTTTTTGTGGATATAGTTGACCTTAGCTGACATTTCTCTTGACATCTACTATGATTTTTGATCGCTGTGTGTTTTCCGAGGTGATTTCTTACTGATTAAATGTTGATTGAATTGATCGTACTTAGCTAGAATATCTGTTGATAGATGTAATTTCTGATAGAAACTGATTTTTTCATCGATAGCTGTGCATGATGTCCTTGGCCATCTTGTGAAATGATTGAACATAGCTAATATTTCTGTTGATTATTGAGGTTTCTTGTGGATATAGTTGACCTTAGCTGACATGTCTGTTGACACCTATGATTTTTGTTAGTAGCTGAACATTTTTATCGATAGCTGTGTGATTTCTTGCTGATGTCTTCTTGATTGAATTGATCGTATACTCAATTAGAATATCTGTTGATAGATGTAATTTCTGAAAGGAACTGACTTTTTTATAGATAGCTGTGATGTCTTTGGCCATCTTGTGAAATGATTGAACATAGCTAGAATTTCTGTTGATTATTGAGGTTTCTTGTGGATATAGTTGACCTTAGCTGACATTTCTCTTGACATCTACTATGATTTTTGTTAGTAGCTGAACATGTTTATTGATAGCTGTGTGATTTCTTGCTGATTTACTGTTGATTGAATTGATCGTACTTAGCTAGAATATCTGTTGATAGATGTAATTTCTGATAGAAACTGATTTTTTCATCGATAGCTGTGATGTCCTTGGCCATCTTGTGAAATGATTGAACATCGCTAAAATTTCTGGTGATTATCGAGGTTCCTTATGGATATATAGTTGACCTTAGCTGACATTTCTGTTGACACCTAAGATTTTTGTTAGTAGCTGAACATTTTTATCGATAGCTGTGTGATTGATCGAATTGATCGTATACTCAGCTAGAATATCTGTCGATAGATGTATTTTCTGATAGAAACTGACTTTTTTATCGAGAGCTGTGGTCATTTTGTGAAATGATTGAACATAGCTAAAATTTCTGTTGATTATCGAGATTTCTTGTGGATATAGTTAACCTTAGCTTTAATTTCTGTTGATTATTGAGGTTTATTGTGGATATAGTTGACCTTAGATGACATTTCTGTCGACAACTATGATTTTTGTTAGTAGCTGAACATTTTTATCGATAGCTGTGTGATTGTTTGAATTGATCCTACTTAGCTAGGATATCTGCTTATATATGTAATTTCTGATAGAAACTGACTTTTTCATCGATAGCTGTGATGTCTTTGGTCATCTTGTGAAATGATTGAACCTTATGCCTTATCGAGAAGCAAATTTTCAACAGACTTCCTAAATCTTTTTTCGTTTCGCATCTTCTTTAGATAATTTGGTAGATGATTGTAAATCTTCAAGCTTTCATAAATAAGCGAATTCTTTGTTAGCGTCGATTTTGGTATTGGGAGTTGAATATTATGACAGTTTCTGGTATTATAACTATTGGAGAACAAATGATTCTTGTGCCTCTTGTGCAACAAACTAACCGTTTCTAGAATAAAGAGACATGTAATTGTCAATATTCGTTGACTAATGAATAATGGTTTGCAGTGAGTGTCTAATCTAACTCCACAAATATATCTTACAGCCCTTTTTTGGAGGACAAAGACAGAATTCATCATTTGTAAATTACAAAAACCCCAAAATGCGATGCCATATCTCATATTCGACTCCATCAAAGCAAAATATGCCATTCGAGCTTGAGACCTACCCAGCTCGCATGCCACTAAACGAACAGCAAAGCAGCAGGATGCAAGTTTTTTATTTAAGTTCAGGATATGCGGTTCAAATTTCAACTTATTATCCATTATGATACCAAGGAATTTGCCGTACTCGTTATTAGAAATTGTTATATTGTCTAGCATTAGGTTTGGAAATCTGAATTTGAACGTTACAATATTGGTTTTGCTTATATTGAAACACAAGCTGTTTGAATCACATACCATCGTTTAATTCCTTCAATGTCGGTACTTATATTTTGTTCCAGTATTTCTGTATCATTCCCGCTCCAAAGAATTGTAGTATCATCTGCGAAAATTGTAAAGTGACCATGAATATTGATGGAAGGTAGATCATTAATGTAGAGAAGAAAGAGGACAGGTCCCAATACGGATCCCTGGGGAACTCCATAAGAGTAGCTGAACATTTTTATCAATAGCTGCGTGATTTGGTGCTGAATTCTTCTTTTATCTTTTATCTGCTCTCTAGATAGCACTGATGATAGCAGAGATTTTTTAACTGCTATGAATGCGTTATATGTACATGTTTGTGATACTGACATTTTCAGCAATAATTGTCGTTGCATTGCGTGAAGTGCTTGCATGAGTCCAGATGACGCGTGTCGCTATCGATTGTTTCTCGATGTTTTTGAACAAAACTTGTTCTTTGCTTGCACACGTGAATCGTGGGGAGTATTAAGGGAGTTTTAAAGTGGGGAAAATGACGGTAAATCGCCATCAATGATGAATGATACGCTGTCAGCTGTGGTCTATATTTAGAGAATTGATCGTAAGAATGAAGTGCCAGCTTATAGACGCACGATCCACAACGAAAAAAATCGTGACAAAAGTTGGTTAATATATATCTCGATGGTTCGAAAATAGAATGCAAACAGAAAAGGGGGTAATTAGATAACTCTCGGGCAACAAATTACGTGTAATGAGTACGAAAATAACCAAAAAGTTACCAATATTGAGGTTTTTTTCGAGATGATTAATAGAATTCTTCAATGTACTACGAAAAAATATTGAATCGACTATTTTGAGTGGTGGTCTCGGTAACATTGATATATTTCATTGATTGTCTTTGAATCGCATGACTTATGAGTGAGATGGAGAGGTGAGGAGTTATTTGAAGTGAGACAAAGCTGTGGACAAAAAGAAAACGAATTGATAACGAAGAGCACTTTCAAATGGAGGTTCAAGAAATCTTCTAAAATTACAATATATTAGGCGAATTCGAAATAAAATATACTTTATCTAAACTGTTCTTGTTTTTTTAATTGTTTTCGAATGTTCGTGTCACCTATACGAAAATACCTTGTATCATACACTATAAATGTCACTGAAGCATCCGCAAACTCTTGAAAAAAAAACGATCGTTTCTTCCAAATTGCTCCTTTCCTGAGAAATGTATAAGTCAATGTTCATAGAGCCATCATCTTCACCTATTTTTCTATTGAATAATCAAAGTGAAGCATTGATAGGTTTGAAAATTTGATTTTTTGAGGTATTTTTAATGGTTTTCTCCAAATTTCTCCTCTTCCCGAGGTATGTTTATGCAGTCATTATTTTTCTCTCATATTTACATACATATTTTCTATGAAAATATCGAGGTACGGAATTGATTGGTTTGAAAGTTTGATTTTTTGCAGTGTTTTCAATAGTTCTTCTCGAATTGCGTTGCGTTGTGTATAATTCAATGTTTTTTATTGGTATTTCCTCAATTGCCTCCCTTGATGAATACCTACCTTTCAAGTGATTGGCAGTTTTGGCATAGGTGCAGTTCAATAAAATAAAATAACAGGGTGTCCAAAACTCAACGTCATCATTTGGAGGACTGATAGTCCAGCTCATGACTGACCAGAATATCACAATATGACCTCACTAAAGTATTGATAGTTTTGGAGATATTGGCACTTTTATGAATTTCGTGAAAATCGTAACCTTTGATTAGCGTCGCATGTACAAAACTTATTAGGTATAGTTTGAGATTCTAATTTTTGTTATGCAATCTGTAATAACCCTGCTTCTATTGATTACAATCCAGAATGAAAATATTGGTGCAATGCCTTTGGGAAAAAAACATGTGTGGCCGAGTTAATTTATTTTTATTAGCTCACTTAGACTGGTATTGCACCAATTTTTTCATTTTGGATTCATTTTATTTTGGAATGTAATCAATAGAAGGGTTATTACAGGTTGCATAATAAAAATTAGAATCATAAACTATCAAGTTTTTTCTTCTGTAGTAGTCCATACTCAAAATGGAGTGGAATGATCAAGAAAGAAAACTCGAAGTCGTCTCCACGAGTTCAATGTTGAAAAGATGCAGTCAATCCTGCTTCAATAAGGTTTGAGACATGTTTCGACCATTCAAATGGCCATCTTCAGTCAAATTAGTACACCAAAGTGTATCTACAATTTTAAGTTTTGTACCTGCAGTACTCGAAATACTGATGTAACCCACCACTCTAACTCATGACCACCCAGGACTATTCTGGTTCTGGGAAGCCTCCGCTCCCTTCCGAGTACATCAAAGGAATTCGACTCACCACTGGTGTAGAAACAATGTTGATGGCTAGGAAAAAATATCCCTTGTATAACTCCATGAATGTCAGTGTGACCGGCAGATCCTGTCAGCTATAAATGTCCAATTCCAACACACATACTCACCCTCCATTCTCCAAATATTCAAAATCTCTTCGAACAGAAAAAATACAAACCGAAACCAACATCCAAAGTGTTTTAGAAAAAAGACAGCATCAGTAGTGCCTCATGACCAGAATGTGACCCCTCGAAATACAGAACGTCGAGAGGAGAGACTAAAAATGGCTTTGATCCCCCTGAGTTACTCACTAAACTAGGAATTTTTCTCAACACTGGGGAAAAAACAATGTTGATGGCTGGAAAAAAATACCCCTTGTATAACTCCATGAATGTCAGTGTGAACGGCAGGTCCTGTCAGCTAAATGTGAACACCTCAACAGACATACTCCCCCTTCATTCTCCAAATATTCAAAATCTCTTCGAACAAAAAAAATTCAAACCGAAACCAACATCCAAAGTGTTTTAGATAAAAGACACCATCAGTAGTGCCTCATGGCCGGAATGTGACCCCTCGAAATACCGAAGGTCGACGGGAGAAAAGAAAAAAAGATGGCTTTGATCCCCCTGAGTTACTCACCACTAGAGTTCTTTATTGTACTTGACACTTGTTAAAGGAAATGTGTCGAGTACATCAAGGAATTCTACTCACCACTGGTGAAGAAACAACGTTGTTGGTTGGGAAAAATACCCTTTGTATAACTCCATGAATGTCAGTGTTAACGGCAGGTCCTGTCAGCTAAATGTGAAAACTTCAACAGACATACTCACCCTCCATTCTCCAAATATTCAAAATCTCTTCGAACAGAAAAAAATACAAACCGAAACCAACATCCAAAGTGTTTTAGATAAAAGACACCATCAGTAGTGCCTCATGGCCGGAATGTGACCCCTCGAAATTCCGAAGGTCGACGGGAGAAAAAATAAGATGGCATTGCCCCCCCTGAGCTGTTCCCCGCTGGTGAAAGATGACCTGGTGTACCCGCTGACGTGTCACGTGGCCAACAACTTGCTGGCGCCCGTGAAGTCGCAACGGGACATCCTGGAGAACTCCATGCTGGAGGACGACCCCAACGGGAACTGCGCAGGCGCGGTAGTGCCACAGGTGACTGTAGGACCGCGATGGGGGCCCCAGCACAGGGGGGCCCAGGAGTTGGCGAATTTGTATAGTACAGGTAGGTGGCTTTTTGATTTTATGTGATGTTTATTTTTTCGAAAATATTTTTTTTCAACATATTTTTAACGAAAAACACGAATTTCATGATGACAATGTGAACAAACCATTATTCATCGAGATATTTTTCACTTCTTTTTACTATGGCTATCTACAGGGTGTCTCATAATTAGCGTGCAATACTCCACCAGCAGATTTAACGATCAAAAACAAGAAGACCTATAAATCTTAAATATGAATAATTCCCAATGTGGAAAAAGCTCCTTTATACAGGATTCGGTATCGTTTAATCCAATAAGAATAAATATATTAGAGTATAATAGTAAAATGAAAAGGAAACCTATAAAATTTCACTCGATATCATCTAAAAAATACAATATATACCTACTCAGAACACTCAAATGATATTAAATAACCTAAATACGTATTTTGGCGAGGAAATAGAGATAAGCTGACTCGAGCTAGGAATGGATCCTGAATGTTGATTCGTTAAATTATCTGAAGTGTGTGACAGGCAACATTTGATTTATCTGAAGTGAGCAATGTGCTCTTCTAATCTTGTGCCTATGCTACGACGTGTTTGCCCAATATATTTCCTGTTTTTCATAAATGCCTGACCTACCATTATGAACTGCTACATTTTTAGCGTAGTTTAACCTGTTGCCTTCCTATATCGCCAACATATCACAGCCAAACTATTGGACAATATTTTGACTTAATTTTCGAACCTACTCATGAACAAATTGGAAACGAATGGTGATAGACTTTTACTGTTTAGATTTACAGTTGTGTCAACTGACCTACTGCAACTGATGAGGCATCTCAAGCCGAAACAGTATGTCTTGTATCAATTATTGTTCACAGCATACATTTTTGGCTTAAAATTTCTTGTTATTGGTCACAAATTATTAATGCTTTGGAAAATTCAAGTACGAAGAAGCCATCCTGTATATTTTATTTATTTATTAATAAAAGTTGGAACGCTGACAAGAATTCTCGACGATAAAAGAATCTCCGATATTTCCTGATCGAACGACAATAATTAGTTAACGACATTTCATTAAAAATAAACTGGAATGAACGTAAAATTCTATGCAGATGGAATTAATACTGCAACGTACATGACTAGAACTATTTATTAAGTAGATACTCTATCTACACTGTCATTTAAGAATTTTTATGAAAATTGCGTGTGTATCTGACGAAAAAATCTTATTTTGATCCCAACAATTTGTCCTTGAAATATATTTATATCGAATTTCGAATCACCCTGTATGAATGAAGAAATCATCATCACGAAACAAAATCCTTTTTCCTTTGTTTTTCGGACAACCCTATGATAAAATGAATTTCGATCCGCTACTATAATATTCAATGATTTCCTAGAACCACACCGAAACATTAATTGGAATAAAAACCATCCCAAATGTTCCTCAGCGTATATATTTATTCAGCGAACCTATTAACGAGAATTAAATACGTCCAAGGACATAATATTCCCACTACAAATTAGCTTCCTTTGGGAAATATTTTCATTAAATACGTTTCGACCCACCACGCCATCAGCAAGGGACATTTTTGTTAATTCGAAGATGTAATTGCCTGAATTAGCTTCGATATTATCTACTGACATCTTTAGAAACGCCCTGTATACAACTGCGTATTTGGAGAGAGCTTCTCAAGACAAATGTTACGTGTCTATATCCATCTTGATTTTCACCTATTGCTCAGCACGAATTTTCATTTCCTTTTTTCAATTTAGTGCCAACACACAACTGAAGAATCAGATAATAAGAGAAATATCTTTGATTCTTTGATTTTAAACCAATCAGAACGTTCAATTGGGTCAAGCTACCTTGTATAACTTCAAATATACGTGGATATACATAGAGTAACTCCACCAATTAGAAATTCAGAAACTTCTTTATTCAACATTTTTTCATATCTCTGAAAAAAAAAAGAGTTAAGGGGGATTCCATCTTGAGAGGCACACCCTGTACAACCCCACTACAAATATTCAAAAACCGTTTCAAGAAAATAGATTTTCTGTTGTGTTTTATTGCACCTCAAAAAAAATTCGAAAAATTTTCTTTCCAAACGGAAGTGCTTGAAATTTTCGGAATATTTCACAGCTTTGATTATCATCCTGTAGATTGTAGAATATCATGTGGAAAAGGAAAGTATCTGGGACGTCTCTTATGGCAGCATCTGTAGCTATGATATTTTGAATTAGCTCTTTTCTGGTTTGTGGTGTACTCGAATACAGTAGTTTTTTCATGACCTGAAGATAATATTGGTCAGGTGACCTCGATGGCCAAAGAACTTCTTAACTATTGAGTTTATGGCAAAAGTGTGCAAGGCACTTTCGACTTGACCCTGTATAAATTCATGTTACCTTATTCATTAATCTCTGGAGCTTTTTCAATAAGAACACCATATTCTTCAGACAATATATTCCTAATCTATTCTATCGTTGGATTCATCTTCAAAAGTTCTGTTGATGCATGGGGTAGACATGGTGATCAATAGTTATTTATTATACGAGGGACAAAAGTAGTAGATTTTAGCTCCAGGTTGTGTTGTCTCCCGACGCGTAGCGGAGGGAGACAAAAAACCGTGAGCTAAAATCTAATATTTTTCTCGTGTATACACTATTTTTTCCTGTGACAGAAAAAAAGGACGAATCAATAATGAGAAGATATTACATTAATTTGAAATCCGAAAATTATCGACGTGAAATTTTAAGTTTTTAACAGTAGGGACACCTGCGTTGTATAGGCATCTTTATCATTCTTTTGAAGTAATCAAATATCTGATGTTACTTCTGTCAGTCTGATTCTGTGATTTGATTTCAAAAAATTGCGAATTTAGTGGTTGTTTACTAGTAATATACGTAACCGCGATGTCGAATGGAAGATAAAAGGACTTGCAGTTCTTTCTCGGAGACGGTATTATTGACTCATTTTTCGGAACTATAGCACAACAGAAGCCATCAACAGTGCATATACATGTGATATATATCCGGGAAAAAAGTACTCACTTTTTTCCCACGGGAAAAAAGTAATTTATGAAAAGTGACATTTTATAACCTGCCAACAGAGATGAAATGCCAAACTTTTTTCCCGTCACAGAAAAAAATAGATTATTATGTAAGATTATAATTTTACCGCTGTTTTGCATTTCCTTGATCAGTGAATTCATCACTGAATAGCTGGCATTTGGATGTGAATGAAATTCCTAGGTGATTTCAGTGTTTTGGCAACATTCCTCTGTTGGACCATCCACCTAAATTTAGACCGTGTACCGTGTCGTACGAAAATTTTACTCATTCAAAATTGTACCAAGGTTAGACATGTGACGGGTCGGAAAATTTATCAATCTGAATTTTTCCCAGCGCATTTGAGAAACATGTAGGAATCGATTGAAATTTTGGTTGGTTGGAAATTAAAATGAATCGAAATTAATCGATTTCACGTTTTTTTACTTCTCGGAGTGTACTCACGAATCAATCATGATAATTTTGAAATCCACTGTAGGTTGGCTTTTCATAATCATAAAGGAACGACTATTCTGTAATGCTATCGATGCATTCTAAAATAAAATTGACTGTTTTTTTTTTGTAGGAAAGTAGTTTTTTTTTCTGTTGAATAAACCGAGAAAGAATTCATATTTTCATCACATAGAGAATGCAAATTCTCCATGTATTTCTTTATATACCTGAGGATATTTCTTTTGAAAATTGACTATGCCTAAATACAATAATTGGCGATTCCTGAAATTAGAAGAGGTGTAGTTATTTTTTATCATAAATGTAGCCATACTCATGATTACTTTTTTTAATCATGGGAGCGCCATATCCAGATAAAACTTATCTCTGGTATTCCTGATAAAATAATTTCCTCGGGTAAATAGTGACGGGTAATTCTAGAAAGTCATCATATTGTGTCTGAAAATCAAATATGAGATAATGAATATTACATAATGGAGTATAGATAGGATTTGGTGGAACCATGTTCCATTTAAAAGTAAACGATATGGAAACGGAATTACCATTGCAGGTGTGTACAATTTTTTTCAAGGGTGACAGAGAGCAGAAATATCAAAAGTTGAACGGTTAATTCTGACTATCCCTGTAGATTTTTTCTTGATGAATAAGGAAATCATTGTGAAAATATGTAACAAAAAACAACTACTCTCTTGGTTGATTCCACAACATATTGCATAATCTGACCCCCATAAACTTTTCAGCCGTTGAATGTGATCTAGAAGGCAATGGTTTTTGAAAAAATGGACGCCATAAATAAAAAATTTATGTGGGAAGCCCGCTTTCATATGTTTCACTCTGTACGTACAAATTATTTTTTAATATTTAAGAATTAAATGTATAATCATGTTTGCACAAACACGAAGTACATGTAGGTAAAACAATGAAAAAAATAGCAATTTATGAATTTTGACGGGAAACATATACAACTGATTTATCAAGTCACACTTTCTGAATCACAATCGAAGAAGGTGCATATTTCATTATGTTATCAGGTAAGAGGACCCAAGAGTGCATCTGCGTCGGCATTTGTCTCACCCTGATGGCTGTCAACTTCGCCTTCATCTTGTTCTACATCCGCTTGGAACAGCTGAGCACGATTCTTGTGGCAGCTTTTTGCGGCATAGTCACTGCCGATTTCGGTTCTGGTCTAGTGCACTGGTTGGCAGACACCTGGGGATCCATCGAGCTACCAGTCATAGGAAAAGTGAGTGAAAATAATAATAGTTATTTACACACTAAGGTAGTGGAAGGTATGGACTTGGCAACAATTCTCAAATGGGGGTCCAACAACTTGGTAGATTTCAATGCAAACAAAACACAAGCATGCCTTTTCTCTAGAAAAGCCGATCTCACGGTGCCCAACATAAGCTTATCATGAGTAACCATACCTTTGAAGACATCCATTTCGATGCTGGGTATTACTATCAGCAATAACCTTTCTTGGGAAAATACGTGAGATCAATTGCCTAAAGTGCGTCCCAAAAACTTGGTTTTCTGTTTCGGGCCAGGAGCTATTTCACTCCCAGTCAGCTGCTTATGATCTATAAGGCACAGATCCGACCTGTCTTGGTATACTGTTCCCATATTTGGAGTGCAGCACCCAAACATACCCTGGAACTGTTGGATTCTGTCCAAAAAAGAGCAATTCGTCTCGTGGGTGACGCCTCACTCACAAACTCACTCACTTCTCTGGAACACCGTAGAAAAGTTGTCGATCTGGCTCTATTTTATTGATATTTTCATGGACGATGCTCTTCTGAAATATCAACAATTGTTCCTCCCTTGGCAGTCCCCGCGAGATGATAAATGTCAATTTATCATACCTCCAAAAAAACATTTTATAATCTGACAGACGATATTACAGTTTTGCCACCTACTTTCAACAAATATTCCCACGATCAGGCATGAAATGTCCTGTATTTCCAAAAATTCCTCGAAACTTTAGGCAAGCCACATTGTGAATAGAGGATCCTGCAGCCAAACTTCCTTGAATACTTTGGGAGGGCGGAACAGGAATTATTCTAGGCTCCGCCCACTGCTCTAGCGCCAAATGGAAGCTAGGGATTGGTCGCTTGCCTCATGCTTCATAAAATGTCACCAAGTCATCTTGACATGATGAAATTTGACAATAATTGTCTCTTCAGGAAATAATACAAAGATAATCAATGAACTGTTTTTTTTTTTCTAGAATTTTTTGAGACCATTCCGTGAACACCACATAGATCCCACTTCAATAACGAGGCACGATTTCATAGAAACCAACGGGGACAACTTTATGGTAACAGTGCCTTTCCTGGCGAGAATGCTATGGGACTTCCTCACCCTATCCAAGGAAGACGTCCAAAACAAATTTCCGTGGAACTGTTACGTCTTCTTGCTGGCCATATTCGTGGCCATGACGAATCAGGTGCAAAATCTACTCAATTTTTGCTGAAAAAACATTATACAGGGTGTTTCAAAAAAACCTAACCCCCTTGCTAGGGTAGGTAGAACACTGCAAAATAAGTTGGGTTTGCTCAGTGGAAAAATGTCGTAACGGCATTCGTTTTCATGATACAAGGTGTTGAAAAATTGATTTTTTTACACATTTTTCTCGATTATGTCGACACTACTGGCAACATTGTGATGAAATTTTGTATGAATGTTTCTTGAAATCTGACACATCACATGAATTTGTTTTTCTATCTGGCTTTCATAGAGGGCGCTAGTTACAGGGTTCGTACAGAGTAGTTTAGAACATAACTTTTTTGAGGTTATATCTTTCGAGCCAATTATGATATGAACTCGAACATCATTCAATGTTACACCAAAAAGATACTCTTGGTGAAACTCGATACTATGTTTCGTTTTCGGAATATTTCGATTTGAAAATAATGGAGTAATAGCTGATGCTGGTATAAAATGAATTTTATTGAGTTCAATTACCTATTTATTCAGATCAAAAACAATAAAATTATTCTTGTGCTGAAGTTATTGATGGAACAGAAAATCATAAGTAGAAAATTGAGAGATATTTGACTTGAAACATGAAATATTGAATCAGAGTAAGTGTTCAAAATGTCCTACGTTTCGAAGAAAAAACGATTCTATATCCTTTTCTTAAGAATGTATTATTCTTCTTAACAGTTGAGGATCAGCTGTTAGGTCATTCGAGTGATGTTCAATTATGTCTTACAACCTATGTGGCAGAGACTTTCTGCTCAAGATACAATAAAATTGTGTTATCCATGTTCTTAGTCAAATCTGTTTCGATGTTATTCTTGTGATTCATTGTTAAATCAATAAGTTCAGCATCAGAAATGTATTGTTGTGTTCAGTTTTCAATACATAGGTGATGATTTTTCATAATATCACTCTAATACATAGCTTCATACCAGCAACAGTTATCACTTCATCATTTTCGAATCGAAATATTCCGGAAACGGAACACAGTCGAGTTTTTCCAAAGGTACCTTTTTGGTGTGGAATTAAATGATGTTCAAGTTCACATCAAATTTGGATTGAAAAATCTAACCTCAAAAAAGTTATGTTCGAAACTACTCGGTACGAACCGTGTAAATAGCACCCTCTATGAGAGTCAGATATACAAACAAATGCATGCGATGCGTCAGATTCCAAGAAACATCCATACAATTTTTCACTAAAATGTTGCCAGTAATTTCGACATAATCTTGAAAAATGTGTAAAAAAATCATTTTTTCGACACCTTGTATCATGAAAACGAATGCCGTTACGACATTTTTCCACTGAGCAAACCCAACTTATTTTGCAGTGTTCTACCTACCCTAGTAAGGAGGTCAGTTTTTTTGAAACACCCTGTATATTTTTCGTTTCAGATACACAAGTGGTCCCATACTTATTTCGGACTGCCATCTTGGGTGGTGTTTTTGCAGGAATACCGAATTATCCTGCCTAGGCGTCATCACAGGATACACCATGTGGCGCCACACGAAACCTACTTTTGCATAACCACAGGCTGGCTGAATTGGCCTCTGGAAAAAATGAGATTTTGGAGTGCCTTAGAGACGGTGATAGAGCTGACCACCGGGGTCAAACCGCGAGCTGACGATCTCAAGTGGGCTCAAAAAAGAACGTGATAGTTTTCTTCGAATACTGACTATTTTTTCGCGATTCAGTGATTTTCATCTCCGAAACGATACTTAGTAAATGTACGGTGCCGGTTCTGGGCCTATCCAACAATGCCACGCCCACTCGTTTTTTATTGGTCAATGGGAGTGATAGGGGCGTGGCTAAGGAACTGACTGGGATGGATTAGGATGCGAGGAGGGTGAAGGAAGGCATAATATGGGCGTGGCTAGGATGTGAATGTGTTATCATACAGCTTGCACCGAAATTCTCAATAAAGCATCACATTTACTTTCGCCTTGAATAAACATCGATTTCTCTTCAGACAACTTATTATTATTGGAATAGGCTTTATGTGAATTCCTTTTTCGGATGTTGTTAATTCGATTGCAAACTATTTTTCGATTCCTACATTCGAAACGCTTGATGTGGGCGTGGCTAGGAAGTGTTGATGGTCGTTTAATTTGATTTTTTCTCGAATAAATTGCACCAAGTACGCTTCACTGTTGCTTCCGCTCTGCATAAACACCAGTTTTTTTATCAGGCAACAAATAATTGAAATTAGTCTTATGTATATTTCAGCATCAAGTTGTTGAATTTATTGAAACAAGACATGATTCATGATGATCACCACGTGATGTTTTTTTTTTGTATATTGTTCAATGAGAAATGAGTATCATTGTTATATTTCTCGATACTGTGTCAATATCATCACAAATATTGAAACGAATAAAATATTCACGAGATATCGAGGTTATTCTGTTCTGACATACCCACTACCCATATTTTTACTGAATGAGATTCATTCCTGACTTTAAAAACTCCATTCAAATTCACCTCGACTTCGACGATTTATAACCAAACAGTTTTTCTTACTATCAAATTTCCGCTCGCTGAGACTACTTTTCAAGACATAAATGAGCACAATCTGATTATTTCGAGAATTCAAATTTGAATACAGGGTGTCGCAACTTTATACACGCAGTATCTAGAAAACGGATGACATTATCAACGTTCTGAAAAAACTGGCTCTAATAATAAGAAGTGTTGCACAAAAATTCTTCAAATAATATGGTATGTCTGAGTATTGGCTTACGGAGACAATGATTTATCACACTTTCCACGAGTACCTAAACGCCCTCCCTAGAGCGTAGATGAAGTCAGATCAACAACCTAATAGCTATTAGCTATATATGCTAGCATACTATATATGGAATTTTTTCACCTTTACCATGAATCTGAAGGTGGAATAAGACGACTGATGTACTAGACATCTGAATAACCAGTTTGGGGAAAAGTGAATTATAAATATTGACCCTACACGATGAGCGTGATCCGCAGATTCATCCTCCTCAATTTTTTTCAGTAAGATCATTTTATACAACAACATAATTCGTAAGCTCACGAGCTATTCAAACATACCACAAAAATAGGAGGACGTGATTTGAACAAAAAGAGAGGGGTGTGTGCAAAGAGATGGTTTGTCGAGGGATTGTTTTAATAACTCATTTTATTTCGTCTGATTTCGCCTTTATGATAATGGTAGACGAAATTCCTAATATTTGAAAAATGGTTCCACTCTAACCTTTTATCGATAAATACTAACAAAACAGAATATATGATTTTTCACCAAAAGAATAAACAAAAAATTTACCTCAACCTTAAAATAAAAAATGAACTCTTAAAACAAACTGACCAGATAAAATATCTTGGTATTTGGTTTGATGACAGGTTGAAGTGGGACAAACATATTTATGTTCTGACAAAAAAAAATTATTGGTGCATTGATATTAAAATTGCAAACATGATTGAAGTATTGTATCGTCTCCCATTTGATACACCAACCAATCAATTGTTTGAAATAACAAATACGTATTCTTTAGATGAAATATATGGAATTGAAACTCTTAAAATATCATATAATATCATGAATGAAAAATTGAAGTCGAATTTTATTTTGATACGGAATTCTGAAATTCATAATCATGAAACTAGACAATATAACTTGTTTCATCTTGACGCCGCTAGCTCCATAATCGGAGAAAAAAGATTCACTCATTCAGCCTTAACTGAATTCAATAAACTACCTGATAATATAAAAAATTGCAGAAATATAGGTATATTCAAAAATGAAGTAAAAAAACTGATTATTTCTCAGCGGATAAAATTAATCATGCCATTTTTTTTTACAAATATTATTCTTTGTTTGTCAATTTACATTTGTTGATATATTTTGAATAATGCTATGTTTACCTATAGGTATATAATTATGTACTTCCTTATACCAGAGCCTATTATGTCTGGAAGTTATTTGTTCAATAAATTAAATGAATAAATGAATAAATAAATATGCTATATTGAGTTGTTGAGCTAACATTATCTAGGGCGTAATCATGGAGAGTCTGATACATCATTGTGTTCGTAAGCTGGTAAGCTACTCAGACATGGCATAATACTATGAGGGTGTAATTTGAAGAAAAGCTGGTGGTATGTGCTAAGGGGTGGGTTATCGAGGGTAGTTTCAATGACTGATTTTTGTGCTACACTCTTTTTCATTTGAAAAAATGGGTGTATAAATAGAGCTTGAAAATCAAAGCAATTTAACATTCAGTATTGATCAATGCTCTGTCAATATTACAGTGCCACCTATGATGAGTCCTGTATAGCTGCATTGTTATGAGTTGCAGTTTGTACTATACATTTTGATAATAAAAACCAGATAATGCTGAAATCTTTTATTCTTCTGGAGTATTTGTTAACATTGTCTTTGACTTACATACTATTTCAAATCGGAAGAAATAACATCGAGATATCACTATAATAAATATACATGTTATAATGTGTACCCTCTACCTAAGGAGTATTGTAACTTTTTTCAACGGAAAATGTATGTTTCTGAGATCACGACCCTACTCGAAAACGATTCTGAGATTATACTAAACATTGAGTATTTCTTTTTTGACATCAGGCACTGACGTAAAAGTATGATGATAATAATGTGAATATATGTTAATGTTAGCTGAGAGTTTGAGATCTGAAACTGTGTATATACAGAACAGTGCAAAAACTAGATGGGTTTTCGAGTTCAAATATGTATATGCCACATGGTACAGTTTTTGTGTATACATAAGAATGTTCGAAATAACTTTGTATTTCACTATTTTATGTTGGAAATAACTTTGTTTTTTAATATTTTATATTTTTATATTTCAATAACAATCCTGAACAGATTATATAAAGTTTGTTACTAAATTGATGTATTTATGGTTCCTTTTAAATATCTCATGGTTCTTTTTACATTCTGGAAGTCTTCCTTGCTTGGATTTGCAGTTGCACGGCTTTCATAGTTCACAGCATATGATAAATCTGGTCTTGTTTTACAGGTCAAATATAGTAAACTTCCTATAGCTTCATTGTAATGAAATTTATTTTCACTTATACCTTCTATACTTTCAGCATGTTCTTGAATTGTGATAGGAGTCTTCATTGGTTTTGCTTCTTCCATTTGGTATTTTTTCAAAATCTTTTTAGCATATGCAGATTGACATAATCGTATTCCATATTCATTCTTCTTTATTTCCATTCCCAAATAATTTTGAAAGTTTGTTGTAGTTATTTGAAATTCTTGGCTCAATTTTCCTATCAAATTCTTTATTTCTTCATGATTTTTTCCAACTATTATTCCATCATCTACATGGATTGCCAAATAAAGATTGTTATTTTTCTTCTTGAATAAACACTGATCAGATTTCAACTGAGACATTTCTTCATTTTTCAAAAAATAAGTTAACCTTTTGTTCCACTGTAATGGGGCTTGTTTTAATCCATAAAGTGCTTTATTTAATAAGCATATTTTTCCTGGCATGTTGTATCCTTCTGGTACCTTCATATAAATTTCATTTTCAAGTTACTTGGTTCTTTGGGACTTTCTCTCCTCGTTTCTATAAAATAAAAGTATTCGTATTATTTCAATATATTTGTAGAGGGACAAATCAGATGATTTGCCCCAAAATGTCACTGCGTTTAACAAATTTTTCTATCAGGGAGTCTAAAAGAAAAATCCAGTAGCTTGTCAGTGACAATTTGTTTGAAAAAATTTTTGAAGGAAAGAAATATAGATATATTGAAAAAATATCGAATTTGTACTCATCTCTGGACGTTTCGGGACCGATTCTGCTCCCGTTCTCAACATTCTTCATATGTAACTTTCATTTTGATTTTCATCTTCATTTCCAAACAAATTCTCATTATTATGATTCTCTTGAACTTCATTATTTTCAACCTCCTGTATTTCTTGAAATTGATTATTTTCAACTTCCTGTCTTTCTTCTCCAACATAAAATAGTGAAATACAAAGTTATTTCGAACAGGTTATGGGCCCAGGCATCAGAAATTAAAATAAATCAGTGGGCAGTAAAATCAAGTGAAAATCAAGAGTAAAATTATGGCTTCCAAAGAAGATTTTGAAGAAATAACATGTATCACAAAACTCAAGGATGCAACCACGTTCTCCATGTGGGAATTTGAAATCAACATTTTATTTGAGGCAAAGAATCTATTGGATATAGTAAATGGCAAAGAAGAAAAACCAAATGATGCAGAAAAATATCTATTCACAGAGATGTTGTATTTGCTGAAAAAACCAATGATGAAGTAATAGAACATGAAATTGTTAAAATGAATGAAGATAGCTATGAAGGAGAAGAAAATGGAATCCAAGAAATTGAGTATCAAGAAGATGAAGAAAGTGAAAATGAAGAAAGACAGGAAGTTGAAAAACATTTGAAGGAGTATATCAATGGAGCAGAAACACATTTCAACCTCAAGATATCAAAAATAAGGTGTGATAATGGTGGTGAATTTAAAAACAATGATCTGAAGGAATGGACAAAAAGGAAAGGTATCATAATGAACTATACCATTCCTCATTCTCCACAACTAAATGGAACATGTGAAAGGATGCATCAGACAATCATGAACAAAGCAAGAGCAGTATTGTTTGACTCAAAGCTTGATAAAGAAGTGTGGGGTGAAGCTGTATACATAGCAACATATCTGATAAACCGCAGTCCTACAATGACAACAAATGTTCTACCTGCTGAAATGTGGTATAGTAAGAAACCTAATATGTCAAGACTTAAAATTTTTGGAAGCATTGCCTATGCAAAAGTACTAGGATATCTAAAGAAATTGGATCAAAGAAGTAAAAAATATATTTTTGTGGGATATGCAGATAATGGTTATCGTCTGTGGGACCCACATACCAGAAACAAAAGATGTATCAATTTAGTAACAAACTTTATATAATCTGTTCAGGATTGTTATTGAAATATAAAAATATAAAATATTAAAAAAAAAAATTATTTCCAACATAAAATAGTGAAATACAAAGTTATTTCGAACAAAGAACAGTTATCAACAAAATCATCCTCATTCTCTCGATTTATATAAAAAAAATATTTACAAGAAACATATTTTACAAATTTCAGGTACTGTACAAAACACTACGCTGGTAAGGGCAACTCAGACTGATACAAACGACAAATGATCGAACGAATAATCAGAATCAGCCGTCATGACGCATCTCTTATAAAATTATTATCACAAAATTTAATCATCAACATATACGAAGTCGAATTTTTTCATTATAAATACTTTACAGTTTACACCGAGTATGAAAAACAAATAAGAATTGTACACACAACACATACTATCACAATATGTAATAATAGGCAAAATATGTGCAGGTCTAAGTTTTTTTCAACTGCTAGCTACATTGTGCCATTTTTATCACCAGTTTTCTCATGACGAATTTCTCGAAAAAACAATTGCGGACATGCAAAGTGTAAAAATTACGATCTAGATATCGAGACAGACGCTGATACATTTTGTTGCTCTTGTCAGGTCAAAATTTTTACACCATTCACATAGCCTCGTATAATAACTGTCAACAACATATGAAAACAATAAACTCAATTGAGATATTTCACTAATGATATGCAGTTAGTAACATGAAGTAAAAAATCTAGTTTATCTGTAGCTATAATTTTTAGAATATGAATATAGTAGCTAGAACAAAGATTTGATATGATTCATTGAAAGTGAATATCGACGTTGGCAATTTTCTATTGACTAATGGAAAAAAGTTGGAGGTTTTTCCGTTTTCTTGAATCTTCGACTTAGGTGGAATGATCACTACTCATCATCTTAATGCGAATCATTTAATCTAATCAGTTCCAAATAAATGGACTATCTATATCTATTCGTACACTACAACTGGAAGTTGAGGATTGAAAAAAATACTAAGTATTGACTGGAAGTGAGAAATATCCTTGTGATCATATTTTTGTCAGAACAATTTATGAGTAGCTCTACTGATCAAATGATGGGAATGAATACATATCTATCTCTATGGAATGGTTTTATCATTTCAATCAATCACATCAACAGAATTATGTTAACCTATCTAAATATTCCTCACAACATCAGTCCCATTGAAGTTACTCTCGAATATATAACTACACATTCTGCTTATATATAAATTTTCAACAACCTTTTCGATAATCTACAATGACTCAACAAAACAACTTTATTATCGCCCAAAAATCTCACTAGTCGTCCCATTTAGCGTAAGCCAATGGATCGCTTACGAACAAGCTAGACGGTTCTGCTGTTGCTGTGTTCGGGCTTGCTCGGTTGATAACGGATTTAGTGTCGTTCGTCTCAACATTGTACCTAAATAAGAAAGAAATCAATAAGAGTATTACTGAAATGTGGATCATAATTGGGTTTCCAACGTAGGAACTACTACCTAAGAATCAAGCAGCTGTCAATAACAACTAATTTCTAGGGTATCAAATACTAGTTTGATCATATTCACTGAATAATTCGCTCGGTCACCGCTCATTCTTGTTGCATACTAGAATTTGAGACATTGAAAATACATTATTGATCAGCTGTACCTTTGTTCGACTTGGTATCGCTTTGGTTGGGGTGATGGTTCAGTTGATGCTTGAGTTTGTGCCCAGGAAGGCTGATGATCCCATGCTGCTTTGGGATCCCAATCATACGTCGGTTGGTTTTCACTGAAGCAGAAAAAAATCAGTCACGGTACAATATACATCAATTCACGCACTTACCTGAATATGTTGTGGTCACCCTTATACGGTGATGTACCATCATACTTCGCGTTCTCATGGTCCGTTATGGTCAATTCTATATTCTGGTCGTTGTCCCTTCCTTCTTCTAACGTGCTATTTTTGATACCGTAGTAAAAATACATGATGAGTCCTAGGGTCATCCAAATTGTGAATCTGACCAGCGTCAGTATGGAAAGTTTCATGATCAGGTAGATGTTCACCGTGATAGCGACCACGGGGATGAATGGTAAACATGGAGTCATGAACATTAGTGTATTTCTGAAATCAAAAAGTATGGTTTGATTCGAGCTGTAATCAAGCTCCTCTCCTAGTCTATTGGATCAGTCTACGCCTTTTGTGGGAGGAGTCTACTCATCATCTACTAATGAGACAGTAACCTGTTGAGTAGACCCCGCCCACTGAGAAAGCGGCATGATGCGAGTGGGTCTAGAACCGGCTAAGCGCATCTACTGATGTTCGTTTCTCACCTATTTTGAGGCTTTCGTGATATGACAAGACAAATGGCTAATATGGCGAATAGGAATAGGAAAACGAAAACCGTTGTGGTCGTATTCATGTCGTCCATACCGCAGACGACGATGAGATCGAAAATGATGATCAGAATGTACAGATGGCCCACCATTTTCATCACGAACATGCCAGATTCTTCTGTGGCCGGCCCTGTATCGACCCACGGAAAAATTGCTGGACATAGATAAGTGGCAGCCTGGAAACAAAAAAAATTGTTGATGATGCTCTTCATCTTGATTGGTGGCTTACCTGTAACCGGCGACCTATGTTGCCCAAACTAGGACCTACTGTGGACCCTACTACACCTCCTGTACTTGCAGTACTACCACCCCCATGCACTGTGCCTTAAATGAGAACAATATTGAGGAATATATCAAGAAATTCACGAAGTCTTACCGTAAAATTTATTTTCTGTTCTATCAGACACTAAAAATTGATCATCTCTACCAGAGAAATCTTCTTCCGGTTCGTCTGCTCCAAAGGTATCATCGCTGTCAGGTGAGCTTAAAGGAAAAGTATAATAATTCAGTGAAAAGGATAATTTCGGGAAATTTAATTTCACTGTATTTCCATATAAATAACTCGTTAGCATTTCGCTACACTTGGAATCTGCCACAAAACAGAGAAGCAAATGATCGAATTAGTCATGAATCTGCCTTGGTTCAGATTTATGTCATTTACGGTAATTGAGAGAGATAATAAAAGCAATGAATGAGCATGAAATAATGGGGATAGTTGAAATGTTCACTATAAATAGCGAGATTAATTATTATTCAGGTACATAATGCTCGAATAAAATTACGAGGCTGGATTATAAGTGATATACCTTGAGAGATTGTAAAGCACTATCCACTTTCATTTGTTCTCCACAAGTGAGTTCTTTAGATGCATACTCAAGACGTTCCAGGACAATAGACGGAAGGATACCACAAAATAGATGATCAAAGGGATCTAGATGATCTATATTGTGAACCAAACCATTGTCAGTATTCGCGGTCGCCAAAGTCATCAGATAATGTTGCGATGACATGAAAAACTACGGGAAAACATGTCTAACTTTCAATCTGAGCCAGGAGTTGGGAATATTTTTCCGTAGTTTTCTTGTCATCTCAACGTCAGATGATGACCTCGAAGAAAGTTTGATAAACGCATGCTTACACAGATCGCAAGCTCTCATTCCTCTTATTGTTGGACTAGATCTCCTTCTCTAAGAAAGGAATCATCAATGAAGGAGTGGGAGGAGGTCCAAAACTCGCCTAGTGCCTCTATATACTGCCTCCCATACTCTGGCGCTCTCGAGGTATGAAAAAAGGAGAATGTAGCTACCCAAATGAAGGCGAGTCCCACCAAATTTCAGGATTTTTGTGATAAGATGAGACAAGTGGCTGAGTTCGAGCCGATGACAAAATGTTTACGGAACATTTTGATCCCATTCCTCAACTTGCTGGATCTCACTCCGTCCACTATATAAACAAGGAGTAGGGGGGACTACAACTGACTCAGCGTCTCTACTGATACTTGTATTTCACATATATTTCGATATTTATGATTTTATCACACAAAATACTCCGTTTGAATCAATGTCTGTCAATCAATTTGAAACTCCCCTCTACCTATCAGATCAGACCTCTGAAACTTAAAACAAAATTCAACACCTGCCCCCTCTCCTTCTTCTCGATTTTCTTCGAACATTATAGGAATTTCGTTCCGTGTGCTCCAAGAGATTCGAATAAAAGGGTCTTAGTAGTCTTTTTATGCGGACATACCTCCTGGTCACCCTCCTAACCATCACCCTCTGCGTGGTCTGTTGCGGCAACGGTGACTGCGCAGGCGTCAGCGCTCCGACGTTCGAGTCGATCGCTTGTCGAAGTTGCGCCGGGTGCAACCGATCACCGTAGTAGGCGTGTCCGTTCGGATCGTCGGCCACGCCCTCTTTGGTGGGCGAGCCGCTCAGAGGCGTGCGCAGACTCTGTGGGAGGAGCTCGACCAAGTTGGTCGAGTGCGGTTGGTAGCGGAGAATGAGGACGCAGGTGGAGACGAGGGTATACGCTAACAGGGTACCTGAAATGTTAGTTGGTGAATGAATTGAAGATCGAAGCTTTTGTTCACCACTCCGAATGATCCTCATGGACAGTCAAAATTCAAAGTACCCTAGTTTCGAATATCGTTGGTGAAACATAACATATACATAATTGAAACAAGTGACATTGAATTAAAATATACTTGAACCAAGAAATTCATCCATGGTGTATGGTTCTATTTCAATCAATAATTTCTGAACTGACTGTTTGAATTTTTTAAGGCTGGGTTCGATTTTCAATTTTGAAGGTAATCTATTGTAAAACTTTATAGAGTTCATGGGGGTTTTTTCTGTTACCGTTAGTCTGTGAGGTGGGATATTGAAATCCATCGTTCTTGTACCATAACTATGCTTTGATTCATAGGCTTGGAATTTCTCCCAATTTTTGAATAGAAATACTAAACACTCATATATATAAATACCCGGGACAGTTGATATATTCATGCCTTCGAATTTTCCTCTGCATCCAGATATCCATGCTGTGAGTGACTCAGCAAATTTTCAGTGTGAAAAAAGCTCAGAAGCTTAGAACACATAGATATTTCAAATATTTTTGAGAAAGATGGCATTGAACTTATAGGACGATGGTTTTCCAATAGTGAAGGATCTTTTTTTTTATGCAGTGGTTTGATAATTGCAAATTTCAGTCTGTTTGGAAAAATTCCAAATTGAAATGAATTATTTATTATGTGGCACAAAGGAATTGCTAGTTCACCTCTACAACTTTTAATGATACTGCTAGGTATTTCGTCATATCCAGTACTCATCTTATTTTTCAACTTTATAATTATCTCAATGACTTCACTAATTGTTATGGGTGCTAGAAGCATTGAATTTTTTGTAAAAAATATGTTACCAGAAAAATCAACTTCTTCCAAATTCAACACAGGGTTTGGTGTATTATTCAGAAACATATCAGAATTATAGGATATCTTTCTAGGAATTGATCTTCCATCTTTCATCATCAGTTAACTTATATCGGGAGAATTTCGACGGATGAAAATGAAGCTTATGTCAAATATTTTTCGACTAGAATTTCTATCTGGTCACTTCACATAACGAGTCATAAAGACAGCCCTTTCCATAATTGCGTACTGAATTTTGGAGAGAAGGAAATGTTTATGTTAATTTCATGAAGAGCGTGTTCATCGTACTAGGAAGATGTATTTAAACTTCTGGTTGAGCATGGAAAAGTTTCTTATGAAATACATCGTCACATACCTACCTCACGAACTGTGTACGCCAATTCCAATTTACAGTTGTCACTCAATTACGAAGTAGCATAAACTTCACAACTTTTGAATGGGTCGTCAAGGGATGGCATAACAAAAGAGAATTTGCGGTATTTCGTATGATCAACGCGTAGTTCGTTTGTTTGGGGAAGATTTACGTAACTGTGAGGAAGTTACCAGTGTTTTCTCACTCACCTATAGACATCATTTCTACGAGTATTTCTAGTCGTATAAAAAGTGCAGCGACAGCTGCTGTAAGCCCACTAACGAATGTTGCCAATGCTGGAGTTCCCGTACTTGGCCAAACTTGAGAGAAGATCCTGTAAATCAAGCATACAAGTTGGAATGATCAATCACAAAGAATTTGGTACAATGTACCTACTTGGAATGTGAAGGTTTAGGAATTTAATTTATCTAGTCCCTACACTGTTTTATGGGCTATACGGAAACGATATACTCTGTGTGAAGAACCACTAATTGGAAACTATATTTCTCCGTAATTTTTCTCGGAATTTATTGTTTTCGGCACGTTATTGCGTTCGGAAAATAAATAGCTATAAGGGCGCCATCATGAGTAAGATGATATGGGAAAGTCAATATTCAGTTTTGTAGCGGTTGTAATGAACGAGATTTTTCGAAAATACCTATATAAATGAGAGTAATGCACCTATGCCAATTCTGAATGATTATCACCTCCTACAAGTTTCTAATTCCTGCCTATTTACACGGTCTTGAAGGTGGGGTAACTTTCAACGGGATCTAGATCTTATCAAAATAGACAAAAGTTGTTGGATAATTTTTCAACGAAAATATTACCGTGTACGAACGAAATGCTGCTGCTGTTGCTGCACTTTGGTGCCACTCACCAGAAATTGAACAAGTTCATTATTTTCGCAAACGTGTTACATTATTCGACAATGCACTGAAGAAACAATTGAGAAATAGGATCGGATAACTAGCTCTATATAGAGTCCCTGTATGTATTTGACACTTTTGCTGTAATATATTATATTACAACAAAACTGACAAATTGAAATTCTTTCAAAATGTATAAAATGTTCAACTAATTGACTATTCCACTCTTGTTCTTGAGAACCAATCAGAATCGACCATTATCACGGTTCCTTTTCTGTATTACAGCGATATTTTTTGTTTACTGAACATCATCAAACTTGCTTTACCAATATAGAAGCCGATAAATGACCCACACGTGACTAACCAATTTCGTTTTCCAGCGATGAAATTCTTGACATTTGAAAAGTCAATTATGTTGGAAGACAAAATGATAGATGCAGTGTGTGCAACTCTTGCGAAGCACTCGTTTATTGTCTCAATCATGAAATAGTCATAGGAATACAACTCGTGATACTATTGTTTCTGGAAATATCCATCGATTGACATACTCCAGCTTGCTGTTTTATTTTCGCTGATGACATTGTTCTGAAACTTCTCGCCTAAGCCTCGAAGGTTTTGATAAACAATGTCATTCACGAAATTATAAGGCAACAAGCTGGTCGTAACAATCGCCGAATATTTCCAGCAAAATATTATCACTTGTGATATTACATATGATAATACAGGGTGATTCAAAAGTAAGCGGCATCCTTTCAGAGGCGTATTCCTTGCATGAAAATAAGGCAAAAAGTTCCTATTGATAAGGATCCGAAAATGCTTCCTAAGGGAGCTACGGCCCTTTGAATAGGACACCTCAAAGACGGTTTTTTCTCTATAACTTTAAAATCCTTCACAACAAATTTTTAAAAATTGGTGTACGGCATAAACATTCGATGGTAAATAGGACTCCGTATTCGAAATAATTTCCAAACGAAATCACAGTAACCTGAATATCCGGAGAAGAAGGGATATTTTTACACTTACCCTCTCCCGCATGTGACGCCCCTGAATGAAATTCTGAAATTTCGAATACGGAGTCCTATTTACCATCGAATGTTTATGCCGTACACCAATTTTTAAAAATTTGTTGTGAAGGATTTTGAAGTTATAGAGAAAAAACCGTCTTTGAGGTGTCCTATTCAAAGGGCCGTAGCTCCCTTAGGAAGCATTTTCGGATCCTTATCAATAGGAACTTTTTGCCTTATTTTCAAGCAAGGAATACGCCTCTGAAAGGATGCCGCTTACTTTTGAATCACCCTGTATATCCGTTATTATACTACAATCGTATCGATGCGATATTTGGCGGATCTGTGTATTTCATTGTATATCGTGTTAATCGACCTACTTCATGTATGACGTGTATAGGTGTATAGGTGTGAACGATGACGATCTAACAAACGATGTTATCCCAATTTCTGAACAAAACAACTCCGGCACTTAATTGGTTCGCATAGCCGGCAGCTCTTACCTAAATATCAGTCCGTCCTGAGCCATCGCATAAATAATCCTCGGCATCGGGAACATCGATCCGAACATGCTGACAGTGAGACCAGCCAAGGCCCCTACGGCCACTATATATTTACATTTGTAGGCACCGACTTGGCCGAACATCTCCACCAAGGCAGAGTCCTCGTCTACTTTCGTATATGGAACTAGAAGAAATAATCATTCGTTCAGAATTCAAGGTATCGAATTATTTTCACAGTAGTAGGTATAGCAGTGGTTAAGCTAACCCCCTACCTCTTCTTCTTGAACGTGAAAAATCTGAAGGAGTGGGGGCTAGCTGAATCACTGCAATACATTCTTGGTACTAAAGTGTCTCGGATATCTCATTTCACGCTCTTTAAAGAGTGAGGGCACATTTGTCATGTTGTTAAACGTCTGAACAAAAAACATGAGACAAGAATATAACTAGACTGTCTGACGGTATAACCCGTCAGAGAGTATAGATATTTATCTGTTATTGGTAGGAGTATGATATCATCTTCTGACACCTGTTGATTCACATCGGACGATTTCACTGTATAAATAGTATTAATAGGTGAATGACCTACCTATTAATGTGATCATCATGGAGCTAGTGACGTAGGCTATCAAAATAATGGCTAAACTCGATACTATAGCTAGTGGGATAGACTTCTTTGGAGTGGCTGCTTCTTCACCGGTGGTGGCTATAATGTCAAACCCTATGAAGGCGTAGAAACAGGTTGCAGCTCCTGTGAACACCTGATGGAAAATGCAAAGATGTCAGCAATCCATTCGTTTTTGTAGATTTTTCTTGTTTATTTTGTATGGGAGAAAGTAATTAGGTGTTTTTATTTCATTTCGTGTTTGGAGTCAGGATCGTTAATTATTGAACAAACATCAAAGTCAGATCCGAATCCATTCGGAGGTAGAAACGGAGTTAGAATCGATTGGTCTACTTTCGAATCGGCGATATAGAGTTTGATTAATTGCAGTGATCTCTCTGTTTTTCCTGTTTGATTGATCGATGTGGCAAACTGATCGAGTTTTCGAATTCTGCTCGTTATAGAGAGCGATAAAATTTTCAGAGCACCGTCCCATATCGAATGAAATAAAAAGCATTGTGTCTTAAGGACATTTGTTCGAATGCGCAGGCAGATTATAATTCATTTGTATTTTTATTAAGGAAAGTCATTTTTCATTATGCAAATGATATAGACGATTGGAATCATTCACTTATATATATTTCGCCCAAGAGAATATTGTTATGACCCGGAGAACGGAATTCGCGTAATCTGAGAAAGCTCGGTATTAAGGTTGTGAACGGAACAAATGAGAAAATTGGATTTTTCACTCCAATTCTTGTTCTTTCATAAAACGCGATGCTCGAAAGTTATTTGTTTCCATGTTCGATTCCTCAGGGACTATTTCAAATACTGAAGGCAACATTCTAGTCTTTCTCCCATCTTTTTTCCAATTCGTTACGGATACATTTTGATATTTCTCCGTGACTTATCATCACTCTTGATTCGAACTCGTGAGAACAACATCATGATTGATAGCGATTAAAAATAATTTCCCAAGTAGCTTTCTCATCCATTTTCAAATTATGACAGGAAAAACTAATTTGAAATCAGTACGCAGCGCTTATTGGGAGAGGAAGTGTAAAAAAGTAGAAGCGTTGATATTACAAAAGTTGTATATGACTTGGGATGAAAACTTTTCAACAAAATTTCATCCATCCTGTGCCGAGATTCATTCTGGAATTATTTAGATAGCTAAAACGTGATACTTCAAAACTTATTTGAATTTTCTTGGACAATCAGCATAAATGCAAAGCTGCACAAATACTAATTCATCAACACTTCAGACTATTTTCTATATATTGAGGCGTGGTCTGAAATCTGATGGTGGGGAGTGGGGATTAACCCAAGTGTATTCATATCTACTTCTTATGTAATAAAATGGACTCTCGAGAGTTGAATGTTTCATTATCTCACCCCTGACCATCCTTTGGGCAGAAACCCCTTGTGTTTGGTCCAGTTATCGGTGTTGACGTAAAACATACCCGCCGTCATCACAAACACCCAAACGGATAAGTTGATGATGTTGAGGATATTGGTGAAGATCAAGGATTTCTTCACTCCTGCTGCCAACAGGAGCATCATCAGCAGCGTTATCACGAACGCTACGAAATCTGGGTCTCTACCTGAAACAAAGGAAAATTATAGGAACCGAAACATGTTTGATCTTATGTAGAAGTCCATACTTTCATTTAAGTGGAGTGTACGGATGAGAGGGTTAGAAAACACAAAATCATCTCCACAACGTTTGATAATCGAAAGATTATTTTCCCCTGAATAATCTTTCGATTATTGAACGTGGTGGAGACGATTTTGTGTTTTCTGACCCTCTCGAAACATTTTTTTTCTCTTACCAACCTAAAGTCCCGCCGATGCTTTCGTGTATAGCTTCAGAGATGGCGCCATTCGCTAGCGCATCGAAACAAGCGCTAAGCGCACACGCGCAGGCGCTCGTGCCTATCAGGTACTCCAGGATCATGTTCCAGCCGATCACGAAGGCTATGAACTCGCCTACTGTGACGTATGAGTACATGTAGGCGGAGCCTGTCGTGTGCGGTACTCGTACCCCGAATTCCGCATAACAAGCACCTATAACAAAATAATCAGTGGACAATTTTTTTTATAGAATCATCAGTCAACAACGACGCAACTAAACTGCCATTATATAAAGCATTATTTCCACGAATTTCCACTAAACATGAAAACATATGTAAGAATTCATTTTTGCCTTGAAAGAAACGCCTAGTATAAAGATTACATGGGTACCTAATTCTAAGGGAAACTGATTATTTCGATAACCTAAACAAAACTCGCAAGGACATGGTATTGCTTATATTAATACCATTAAGATAAAATGGGTATCGAGTGTCCCAGCGTCTTGTGAGAAATTGTAATCTCATTTTCATATAGTTCTTTGGCGAGTATGTTTAATGATATCTGCTCTTTCTCTTGGAATTATTGGTTACCTATAGTGATTTACTGACTTATATTCAGAATTCGATGGTGGATAAGTATCTAAATTCAGAATTGTTGAATGGAATATTAGTAAAAAAAAATATTGTTTATTATCGTAATGCAGATTAACTTTCATCAATAAGCTTACGCGAATCAGACATTTTTCAAAGTAAATTTTCTCGTGAATAGTAACTTTTCACGTAAAAAACTCTAATATTTTATAATATCCAAATAGAATCAATATAACCTGATGAAGACCATTGAAAACGTTGATGTTTTTACCCTCACTCTCCTCCGCATGTGATACCCCTGAATAGAATTTCGTAACTAGGAATTTAGAATTTTCAAAACTTAATTGCGGAAGTTTTCAACGTTTTATATGTATAGTGTCCTATTGAATATGGCCTTATTTTTATGCAAGAATTACACTCCCGAAAGGATGCCAGTTATATTTTTGAATCACCCTGTATCAATGTACTAGTCTTGAATACGCTCATCTCATAACCAATCACCTAATAGTGTTACTTCGAATGAATAAGAAACTGATTCGGAAAATATGAACATAACATAATAATGAAATTCATGTGGCGCAAAACTTATTCTAAAAACTTCCGTTGCTTGAAAATCTGTTCTTTCTTTTGCAAAGAAACAGGATTGTAAGTTGATTCAAACTATTACGGTTCCGAGAATATCTGAAATGAGAAACTTTGTGATAACTTCAATTCGTTCGTGTCATTGATTACAAAAGAATTCAATGCTCACACAAGGGTAGAAGCTTCAATTTTTCTAAAGAGATTGCTGTGGCTCGTTATATTTCTATTTGCTACTGTGCTGAGTGATATCTATAATGTGTTTTTTTATGTTCTGGTTACCACGAAAAGAAATATCCTGTAATGTTCAGAGAACATCGTGAGAACCAAGGGAAATGAGGTAGGAATTGGTGTTCTTCTTAGATTTCTGGAGGTAATATGCCTTGGGAAATACCTCCCTTGGCAATGTGTTCCAGAGCCTCGCTGTTTGTTGGATGAACGAGTCTTTGGAAAGAGAGGTTCTGAATGTCTCCAAAGTGACCACGAAGGGGTGCGAAGCCTCAACTTAACGGGTTAATCTCGCGGGGACTGCCAAGGAAGGAACAATTGTTGATATTTCAGAAGAGCATCGTCCATGAATATATCTATGAAATAGAGCCAGATCACCAACTTTTCTATACAGTGTTCGAGAGAAGTGAGTGAGTTTGTGAGCGAGGCATCACCCACGAGACGAATTGCCCTTTTTTGGACACAATCCAACAGTTTCAGGGTATGTTTGGGTGCAGCACTCAAAATATGGGAATAGTATTCCAGGACAGGTCGGATCTGTGCCTTATCATAAGCAGCTAACTGGGAGTGAAATAGCTCCTGGCCCGAAACAGAAAACCAAGTTTTTGGGATGCACTTTTAGCAATTGATCTCACGTGATTTTTCCTAGAAAGGTTATTGCTGATAGTAATACCAAGCATCGAAATGGATGTCTTCAAAGGTATGATTACTCCTGACAAGCTTATGTTGGGCACAGTGAGACCAGTGAGACCGGCTTTTCTAGAGAAAAGGCATATGCTTCTGTTTTGTTTGCATTGAAATCTACCAAGTTATTTGATCCCCATTCGAGAATTGTTGCCAAGTCCATATTTATGTTCTCAACATTTCATCCTCGTTTGTTTCTGATTTGCCTGGCTGGTATTGGAGCCCTGGAAGAGAAGGCGGTATAGAGGGTACTATCATCCGCGAAGCCGTGTACTGGACATGAATTTGCTTCCAACAAATCGTTGATATGGAGTAGAAATAGTGTTGGTGTTAGAATTGATCCTTGCGGAATACCAGCATTTATGATAAGAGAGTCACATGAAACTACAGAGAACATAGCTGGGGAGGCAAGCCATAAGATGGAAGCTTGGCGAGGAATCCGTGGTGCCAGACTCGATCGAATGCCTTGGAGATATCAAGTGCCACGGCTGAGGTTTCATCATATTTTTCAATTGATTGTTGCCATATATGTGAGACGTAAGCGAGCAGGTCACCAGTTGATCTCTGACGACGGAAGCCATATTGCCTTTCGTTGATAATATCTGAATGTTCCAGGTATTTCATGAGCTCAATGTTGATAGCTTTATCCATGATCTTTGAAATAATAGATATAGAAATATAACATATATCGTAATAATTCATCCCACGAATATAGCCTATCTCCGATTATCTCCATCAGTGATTCAGTGAGTCGTACTGATCCAAAATAGCTGAATCGAGAATGATGTATCTTGTTTGCAGTCTAGAGGTGATGAAAAATTGAATTTTCTGTATACACTCGTCCAGAAACGTGCTTATCCTGAAATCTTTCTATTCGCATTACCATCATAGCCCTATGGCGAAATGGAAACGCGAGAAGATCCGTTATATAAAGTATTTCTCTTTGCGTTATTGCATGCGGTCACAAAAGAGTATGGAGATAATACACATTTTTCCCGATAGAAACGCTCGTTTTCCTTATCTAAATTGCCACAATAAATAATAACTACCCCCTATTTTCCACTCAGTAGTGTGTTTTCAGACACGGTAATGCCATAGAACTACGTCGGTATTGTTGACTGCATAAAATATGTATTACCTAATCCATAGTAATTGTGAGAAACTTCACAAACGATTAAAATTTTACAAAACTATATAAATAATAAATAGAAAATTAGAACGACAATGACTTGACTATTCCTAATTATTCTTCGTTAATGTTCTCGATATTTCTGATTCTTATCGCCCCCACAATAAAGGGAAATCGATTCCGTAGAATTATTTGTCGAACACAGCCACCTACGATTCATTTTCCACCCCTTTCAACATGAAAGCGCCTTTAACAATGTGGAAATTCTGGAAGTAGAACTGTGGGCTGACGGAATCCTGTTCTCAAAGAGATCTGCTGTGAGATTTTCCTCAAACGGAAGGAATGGGATGGAAATAGAGGTTGGAGTCGTCCAAAGTACTGAATATCGTATTTAAGATCACGTGAGCTGTTCCTTAGTTATTGCATAATTGACGAGATATTCTTGGATTACAAATAAGTTATATACGTATCAGAGTACGAGCAGATATGAATTCACAAAATATTCTTCGTCTGGCCAGGAACATATTGATGATTTTGCTATTTTTTTTTTCAAGAACTTGGCTGCCAATGATTTTCTGGGCAATACTTATATTCTGACATTCTTATATATGTATCTCATAATCCATACTGATTTTGATCAATCAAATGAGGTTTGTACTGAATTGGAAATGATTCCACCATAATGAAAAATGAAGAATCCTCATGTTATGTCACAATAGTATCACAAGGGCTGCTATAGTATATTGTTTAACGAGCACGGAATGATGGTGATTTCCCACGAGAATGAAGTTTACAGCATGAGCCATTGTGATATCAGATACGGAAATAAAATTGATGATATACAATAAAGTACCTCATTGATGTATCGAACTCAGTGAAACAAGAACAATCTTGTGTAATAGCCATAAAAAATTAGTATATTGTTTAACGAGCACGGATTGATAGTGGTTTTCCACGAGAATGAAGATTGCAGCATATGCCGTGGGCGAATGAAATATTCAGTAAAAGATAATGGTCAATGCAAATTTTTTATTACGATTTAGGATATGACTAACTTTGTTTGAAAAGTGAAGAGGGGATTGTTATATGTTGGTTCATTATTCGGACCATTTATCTTTGTAGTGTCAATAAATATCCTTATTTATTGATACGATTATACTGACATTTCTATCATCGAATCAATTTGAGAATCATTGATACTTCTGCTTGAGTTTGGCTATAAACCTTCGATGAATGATTCACTAAAGATTCTGGCAAACTTTGAAGTTCAAAATCAACCAACATGTATTTCATGCAAGACAATATGAATTCTTGCATTCCGTTTCGATCTTTCGTCTACTGTTAGCCACTTCATTTATATATTTTCAGTTGTATTGGATCAGACATGCACCATTTCTGTTCCCAAATGGATCCAATCAACTGAAGCTGGATATTATTTGTACCTATATACAGCAATGACGCTGTCCAGTTGGTTTACTGGTAACAAACGTTTGTTGTTTCGAACAGTTAGTAATCCCCAGTCTATACGTGTTAGTGGAGGTCCGTTAGACATCTACCAGAATAATTGAACTAACTACAAGCCCAATTATTGAAGTTAATCTATGGTGTATTCCCCGGAGACATGCGTCACAATTACATGCACTTCATTCATATAGCTCGTGTGCATAGCTCCTACCCAGCGAGCACAAAAACATCTCGGAGATGTTAAAAGTACGAGATTTCGAGACATTGAACCTCCACTGCGATGTTCTGTTCACACATGAATAGAACTATTATAGAACAGCCAATGTCCGCCGCAGGCGGCAATTATCGAGATGTCCTTGATATATCACAAAACTACCTTCTCCCTAGTTCTTTTTAAAGCCTTTTCATGTACACAACAGAACATTTTCAACGCGTCTTGCGCACATTAAATCGCTGTAAAAAAGCCATTTTCGAGGTACTTTTCTGAAGCCTTTTGTCAAAATGAACTTTTGCATTAGGATTCCATTTCCCTTGAATGAAAAAATGCATTAAAAATAGATTGAACATAAAAATATTTTCTTGATATGGAATTACCTTCTTAATCATATACATATACATATAATTGGGAATAGGTTTCCAAATTTTTGAAAAGTTCTCCACAATGCATAATTTTGCAACTGCGGAGAAGCTGTGTATTGATGAATTCGTACTTTTATATATTGATTACACTGAGGCACCGAACAACACATCTTGCCTCTGATAGTCATTATTACAAACTAAATAAGTCTTCTAACACAATAAACTTCACCAAATTCCTTTCTGTTCGTTAGCAGCGTGATGTAAGCGTGACACGCTGCAAACGCGAATGCCAATTGCGAACAAGAAGAACAAAATCGAAAACAAATCAGAATTCATCGTATTGTGACGTAAGCATGAGACGTTGTGGTGGGGCAAACAAAGAAACGGCACAAAAGAACAAAAACAATACTTTCAATATCCTTCTAAGACCTCTTTGGGAAGTGCATATCTCGCCTCAAAAAAACATCCTCATGCCTACATTTCTAAAACATCCCACAACGTCCCAGGGATACCTCTCAGTAGGCAAACAAAAGAAATGCCACAGAAGAACAAAAACAATACTTCAATATCCTTCAAAGACCTCTTTGGTCAGTGCATAATACGTCTCAAAATAACATCTTCATGCCAACATTTTCAAAACATCCCAAATCATATCCCAGGGCTGTAGGTATGTGCTCGCTGGGTAATATCTCTTGGAATCACTTTCAGAAGGACAACACCAGGATTGTGACTACTGCGAATTGATAAATCTCTGTTTTTTCGTTTAAAAGTGTTCAAATTCATCACGTGTGATTGACTGAAAGATGTTTTCTCGTTTGTTGAAAGACTCACCTGAGAATATGCTGGCGATAGCAGCAATGACAAAGCTGATGACTACACCTGGGCCTGCTACATTTTTGGCTACCATTCCTGCTACCAAATACATGCCAGTACCGACGCAACTTCCGACGCCCAGAGACGTCAAATCCAGCGTCGTCAGACATTTCTGAAATGATAAAATTAGTTTTTGAGACAAAAAATGTAACATTTAATAATGAACTTTTTTTGGGCCCCTCCAATGATTATTTTTTAATATATTTTGTGCAGCATCTAACTCCAAGCAGCATTTCTGAATAAGTCTGCGGGTTATCAATCTTGAAGAGCTATAGATGCTTTAAATAGCTTAACAGGTACAAACATCTTTGTGCAGATTAGAGAGAAAAATTTAATTTCCGTTTCATTGTGACCTATGTGGTATTCATTCTTTTATGCTCAGAATAATTTTCCTCAAAGCTCATTTAGTTTGGGAGTTGAGGATATTATCCCTTCCAAGTAGTTATTTTTTTGCTGATCACATCCTTCAAATATCCTGACCGAAATTGTTAACTGTCAAAGCTTGATGTGACTGTTGTTTTCTCAAATGAATAAGCTTCATAACTTTTCTTTTATTGGCGAATTTCCAATGTTTCAAAGTCCTGAGGACAATGGCTTACTGATAAATGGTAAGTGCGTAATGATACCAACATTTTCACGGGTTGAAGAGACGCATATTGTCTCTTATTTATTTTGAATTCTAGGATCGAGAAATAATCTTCAAATCCTTTCCCAAGAAATCTACCTTCCTCCATTCGACAATTCGAAGGCGTATTATGATTTCACGGAGACTGATGCAGGCAAGCTTTATTTACTCAGAATTTACTGCAAATTATTCGTTGAATTTTCAGATGTTACGACGTATAATCCGAGGTTTCTTGAAGGATATGAAACGCCAGGTAGGAAATGAAATATTAATGAGCAGGGGAAAATATTCACGCTTTGGGAACTTTATGTTCAATTCAGAAAGATAGCTGATAAAAACACTATTTTTTTTAGTGAATTTGGTAGATGAGTTCAGTTTGGATGATATAAATACTCCAGAATTCATATTCCTCGGTGAGCAGTAAAGCATTGAATAGACATGTGTCTAATTATTGGGGTTTCAGAAAATTTCGATGAGGATCTCCAAAATGCGCTTCCTGATATCAGCTTGCAAGACATATTCTTAGGTAATCTGATGTGAGAAATGATTGTTGGTAGAAAAGCTGATTATGCATTTCAGATCCTTTTGTGATGAATGTGGGAGAGAACATCCAGGAAAAAACGAGTACATCAGATTTCGTGTTCAGTGACAACGATGTGATGAACCTTTATTATTGGAATGAAAATCCAGTTAAAGAAAGGAAGATGAAGACTGCTAGGAACGGGAAAGAAAATAAACATAAGAAGAAGCGAAACATTTGAATATTTATTATTCTCCTATTGTATTTCCTGGAGAAATGTTAGATTCGCCATATCGCCAACTTCTTGTTTCCACCCCAGATTATATTTTCCTCGAAATTTACTTGGGGAAGGAGGAACTCATTATTCAGATACGCTCTTGGTGAACCTAGCAGAGAATTTCCCCTATTTTATGCTACAATATGTGAAGTTAAATTAATGTTATCACAGTTTCTCTTTCTGTATACATTGCCTAGCTCCTGTAATTTGGATTCCATTATCTTGTATTCATATTAAATTACTTTCGATGTTAGCTTGGTCAATTTAATTTTACTAGAGAGCTCATTCAATTCAAATCATCTACAGGGTGTCTGTAAAAGGTTTTTACAAAAACATACCACATATTCCCTACACCAAAATAAGTTGGTTCAAGTAAAATTACCTCAGTACAAAGTTGCATCGTTTGGGCTCCAAAGAGCCTTGAAGTTTCAATTCTTAAATCGTTTTTCCCATATAAATTCAAAACGGCATATGCGATTTTGCTGAAATTTGGTATATTGACAGAGTTTTATGTGGCAAAAAAAATGGTGTTAAAATTTTGTTCGATAATAATACATAGGCGTAGAACTTGATTTTCTAAATAATTGCACCTTTAAAACTTCTACGCCAATGGAAGAAAAGGAGTTTAAGTATACGATTCAGATTGCGCAACTCATTCACTTTAAAAAAGGAACTCTTGATAAGACTCGATTGCTCTCATGGTTTTGACGTGCATTCTAGCAATTTCAGAACATAAACAATATTTATTGAAATACAAACTTTGTCAAAACTATGAGAGTAAATCGAGTGTTATCAAGGGTACTTTTTTGTAGTGAATGAGTAACCAACCCGAATTTCATATTCAAACCCCTTTTTGCCATTGGCGTAGAATTTTTAAAGGTGCAATTATTTAAAAATTCAAGTCCTACGCCTATGGCAGAAAAGGGGTTTGAGTATGAAATTTGGATTGGGTACTCATTCACTACAAAATGTACCCTTGATAACACTCGATTTACTGTCATGGTTTTGACAAAGTTTGTATTTTAATAATTATTGTTTATGTTCTAAAATTACTAAAATGCAAATTTCGTCATAACCATGAGAGCAATCGAGTCTTATCAAGGGTACCTTTTTCAAAGTAAATGAGTTGCGCAATCTGAATTTCATACTCAAACTCCTTTTCTTCCATTGGCGTGAAATTCTTAAGGGTGCAATTATTTGAAAAAACAAGTTCAGCGCCTATGAATTATTATCTGACAAAATTTTAACACCATTTTTTTTGCCACATAAAACTCTATCCATATATATCAAATTTCAGCAAAATCGCATATGCCGTTTTAAATTTATATGGGAAGAACGATTTAAAAATTGTAACCTCAAGGCCCTCTGCAGCCCAAACGATGCAACTTTGTACTGAGGTGATTTTACTTAAATCGACTTATTTTGGTCTAGGGAATATGTGGTATGTTTTTGTAAAGACCTTTTACAGACACCCTGTATAACCGAAAAAAAGATTGATGATTCAAGTTCGATAGGGATTTCTAAAATTCGCCAATATTTGAAGTGGTACTTTATTGAGATCCCAGAACTACCAGGTCAATTATTGACTTCCGAGTAAGTACTTTATAGATGTCCTTTCTACTTTTCATTGGAAATAGAATCTCCTTTTGTGAATAAAAAAACATTTCCGCACACTGGAATGGAAATTACGTTCCTATATTCCCAATTGAGACTCAGGCTGCTCAAAGAGCGAATGTCTGATATAGTAAAATTCCCTAGACCCTAAAAATACTTTCTGAATTCGATTCTATCGACGGTAGGACAGATAATTGGAAATGGAATAGAAGGATACGGTTATGTAGCGAAAGCACTGAGATATGAAAACTGTCATGGAAATGGAAAATTAGTTCAGATGGCTGAGAACGAGGAGTGAAGAGATGTATATTGGTTTAACATTCCCAGAGTGTCACGACACTCGAGTCAGGATGGATTTCAAATGGAACACATGATGATCGTTTTGTGTAACAGGTTTCAACTCATCCTGTATATCGTTTTAATTTCGTTGGCCTTATCGAATTATACGGATTCTTTTCATGCCCTCTTTTTGTGCACGATTCTGTTTTCGCGTCCTTATAATTAGAGTTGCTGTCACCGCTGTCAGTGATATTAATGGCAGCTTTTCCTCTTTTGTATGTGAAAATGAAAAGGGCCTGATAGGAAGTCCTTCATACAGCAAATTCAACATGGTGAATGGTGTGGTTCAGATTGGTATTTTTAGCTTACATTGGGTCATGACTGTATCACTGAACTTGACTTTTGCGTTGTGTGCAGTTAGTTTTTCCACTTTTCACAACGATTTTATTAGCTTGATATATCGCATTTCCTTCAGGTTGGAAATGCCTTTCAATTGGGGAACATTGATGCCAAAAATGAATTGCAACTGATAGAAAGTAAAGAGAAGTTGAAACTTGAGCAGTTCTTTAGAATACGATTTTATTGCCTCATTCAAAGACTATGACAAACATAAATTATTTCTTCTTAGTCATGAATTATTATCAATACAATCAGAGTTCTGATTTCTTTCAATCAATCGACATAAAAAAAAAGATTATTATTTCAAACTCACTCTGATTCCTTCTTCAATTTTCTATTATACTACGTGATTGTGGTAATTGTTTTATCTTCACTGATTCACATACACCTTTTTGTGATGCAATCAGTACGCAAATGTTTGCATTCGATTCTGAGGATCCAGAGTTCATTTACAAAAGAAATCCCAAGGATCTTCCTCCTATATGAACACTTTATCAAGTTCTCAATCATCGTCAACGTCGTCTAGCAAACGTGGCAAATAGCCTGGAAAGTAGTTGTTTTCTGTTGAATATTCAGATTGATATTATGTGCATATGTTTATATGAAGGAGAATGCAAATTCTCTACTTCAGAAGATTTTGTTTTCAAATTCTTATCGTGTATGTTCATGAGATGTTATTCAATGATCGTCGTGGCATATAGCCAGGAAAGTAGTTGTTTTCTGTTGAATACACCGAGAAAGAATTGATATTTTCATCACATAGAGAATGCGAATTCTCGATGTATTTCTTCATATATTTCCATTTTTTATGTACATTATTATATCTGAGAATATTCCTTTTCCATAATTAAAGTGTTGCTAAATACTCAACATCGGAAATTTAAGCACCCGTACTCAGTATTTTCTATGCTTTGTAATAATTATTATCAACACACTTTTATTTCATTTCATATTTCATTTCCTACTTCTTTTTAGTTTGACTATCCATTAAATCCTATTTTTTTTTGTATTTGAGGATAATGTTCGATCCCTCATCACCCCCATCTACTTGCGATCTCTCTCCAATCGCTGTTTGAATACATCGCAGCTTGCAGCTATTTTGCAGCTATGTATACATTGGAATTGCTTGTTTCGGATAACGACAAATTCACCACAAGCTCACTTGTATACTCGGAGGAGATATGGATGGGAGACATAAAAGTAATGGGGCCATAATACGTGTAGCTGGTTCAGGAATGTATTGCAACGTCGCATTCCCAGAATCGTCATATATTTCAAACGAATGTGATTTTCGGAAGAGGCCATAACTTTTGTTGGTTCCAATTTTCCAGAGCACAACCGAAATCATTTTTGTGTGGAAGGCATGTTGCTTTGTGTCAAAGCCTTGGGAGCAGCGAAATCATCTCTTATAGTAGGGGAGCCCAAGCGGGAATTTTGGGATTTACTAGAATAACATAAGGGTACCTTTTTTTATGTTCTGGTTCCCACGAAAAGGGATATCCTGTAATGTTCAGAGAACATCGTGAGAACCAAGGGAAAATAGGTAGGAATTGGTGTTCTTATCAAATTTATGGAGGTTATATGCCTCGGGGAACACCTCCATTGGCAATGTGTTCGCTGTTCGTTGGATAAACGAGTCTTTGGAAAGAGATGTTCTGCAGGTCTCCAAAGTGACCACGAATGGGTTCGAAGCCTCAACTCGTCGGGTTGATCTCGCGGGGACTGCCAAGGGAGGAACAATTGTTGATATTTCAGGAGAGCATCGCCCATGAGAATATCTATAAAATAGAGCCAGATCGCCAATTTTTCTACGATGTTACAGAGAAGTGAGTGAGTTTGTGAGCGAGGCATCCCCCACGAGACGAATTATACCGTTTTTTGGACAGAATCCAACAGTTTCAGGGTATGTTTGGGTGCTGCACTCTAAATATGGGAACAGTATTCCAGGACAGGTCGGATCTGTGCCTTATAGACCATAAGCAGCTGACTGAAAGTGAAATAGCTCCTGGTCCGAAACAGAAAACCAAGTTTTTGGGATGCACTCATAGCAATTGATCTCAACATTGAGTTCAGATCGTTGATAATTGAGTCATCTCATCAACCTCACAATTTCTACAATATATCAAGAATTCGAGCAAATTCACCGAATGCCAGTTTCCCCTTTGTTGCGGTGCGGGGTCCTTTGTGAAGTTGGTGAAAAATCCTGATATAATCCTTGAGGAAGTTGAAGAAGCAACACGCCAATTATTGTACCTTCCCAATTTGATCACTAGGTATAATATTTTCTACAGCTTGTTTTTGCTACGAAGTGACTTTCGCTTTGGCCTGTTTTCTGGGCAAACATGACGGATGAAGAATAACAGACTTTAGAGCCAACCTCATCCTAAATGGAAACAAAACAGCTTTGCCCCGAACCTTCTCAACAGTGTTGCCATCTCGAGGAATTTATCCTTTTTTGAGGGACTTTTGAGGTCCACGAGGGACAAAGAGACATTTACTTAGTTCTGTGGGATTTCTTCACCTGCATGACTGTGTAGGTACAAAACTCTGTAATCTGTTGGTCTGAAATGAATTCAGCATCATCTAGCGATAGAAAACGAAAACTGAGAGGTGCAAGGTTGGTAGAACTGATGATTATTTTATTATAATCAGTTCTACCAACCTTGAGGAGGTGTATTAAGTGCGCCACCTGGTAGAGGGGCAGAGACATTATTAAAGAAATCTTATAAGGAAAACTGTTTGTTGATTTGCATAGAAAACAGAACTGGATTGGCGCAGTGGAAGAGCGTCCGTCTCACGACTGCAAGGTCGTGGGTTCGATGCCTAGCACGAGCAGAGAACTTTTTTCAATATTTTATTCACGAATTGAATATTGTAAAGTTTCGGAGCATCGGCTGGGGATAGTCCTGCACGATTCGCTGTTGCGTTTCAATTAACAGTGCTGCTCCTAAAGTGGCGCATGGAGTTAGTAACAAAGCCTATGCAGAAAGAGATGATGATGTGGCTGTGAGCATCAGAGAAGAAGTAGGACGGTGTATGTAGGTGGATGTGGAAAACTACCAGCTGAGCGTGAGAGCGGGCCAGCTGCTTTAGTGGACCCCAGTCTCTAACGGGGGTTAACGAGGATAGCTAGCAGGCCTGCCACTGCGCATATGGTAGTGAGTACATTACTAGCCTACAAAACACAACCGAAAAACTCTGAGAGAGAGCTGATGGGCGGTGCCTGAAATGATGTTAGCCAGCTCTCTTGAGCGAACCACATCAGTCATTGAAAACACTTGGGGTTTGCAAAAAGGTCCCATTAGGGACTAGTTGCTGACGTGCAAACGTCCCCCACCAGTACCAGTACCAGTACATAGAAAACAGACGGCTTGTTGGTCATTTGGTGTTCGCGTTCATGACATTTTCCTGCTAGGTAAATTTTCTGACTGAACAATCTTGGGCTCTAATGGAAAAAACATGAAATTGCTACCAAAGTATTCCAGGATTATTGGCTGCAGGATCCCCTTTTCAAAATGTAACTTTCGAGGGATTTTTGATGGAAATACAGGATATTTCATGTCTATACGCGGGACTGTTTGTTGGTGGCAACACTGTAATTCTCACCGTTAGTTTCTGTTTCCTATCGTCCGGCCTGGGCTGTTTCTGCTGCTCTTGGAAGTTGTCCACGTTTTTCGTCCGGATCAGTTTGCTGAACAGGACCAGTCCATCCCTGCGAAGGGTGTCGCGGTCTATCGACCACATGCCCAGCTTCATCCTGAAACAACAACAACAATTATTGATTATCGAAAGAAATCTCGGAAGACACTGTCAGATTATTGATAGTTCTCTGCAAGTTGTTCAACTACTCTTACGAATTGGGGATATTCCCGTCCAACTGGAAAATTGCAAGAGTACAACCAGTTCCTAAAAGAGGCCAGAAGACCCTACCTATAGCAACTACAGACCGATCGCACTGCTATCTATTATTTCAAAGATCATGGAGAAAGCTATCAAGATCGAGCTCATGATGAAATACCTGGAACATTAAGGTATTATCAACGATAGGCAAGATGGCTTCCGTCATCAGAGATCAACTGGTGACCTGCTCGCTTACGTCTCACATATATGGCAGCAATCTATTGAAAAATATGGTGAAATCTCAGCCGTGGCACTTGATATCTCCAAGGCATTCGATCGAGTCTGGCACTACGGACTCCTCGCCAAGCTTCCGTCTTATGGCTTGCCTCCCCAGCTATGTTCTCTGCTAGCTAGTTTTCTCTCAAACAGGTATTTCCATGTAGTGGTCGACGGAGTTTCATCTGACTCTCTTATCATAAATGCTGGTGTTCCGCAAGGATCAATTCTAGCACCAACACTATTTCTAATCCATATCAACGATTTGTTGAGAGCAACTTCATGTCCAGTATACAGCTTCGCGGATGATAGTACCGTCCATACCACCTTCTCTTCCAGGGCTCCAATACCAGCCAGGCAAATCAGAAACAAACAAGGGAGAAATGTTAACAAAATAAATATGGACTTGGCAACAATTCTCGAATGGGGATCCAATAACTTGGTAGATTTCAATGCAAACAAAACACAAGCATGCCTTCTCTCTAGAAAAGCCGATCTGTGCCCAACATAAGCTTGTCAGGAGTAACCATTCCTCTGAAGACATCCATATCAATGCTTGGTATTACTATCAGCAATAACCTTTCTTGGGAAAATCACGTGAGATCGATTTCTAAAAGTGCATTCCAAAAACTTGGTTTTCTGTTTCGAGCCAGGAGCTATTTCACTTCCAGTCAGCTGCTTATGATCTATAAGGCACAGATCCAACCTGTCCTGGAATACTGTTTCCATATTTGGAGTGCAGCACCCAAACATACCCTGAAACTGTTGGATTCTGTCCAAAAAAGGGCTATTCGTCTCGTTGGTGATGCCTCGCTCACAAACTCACTCACTTCTCTGGAACACCGTAGAAAAGTTGGCGATCTGGCTCTATTCTATAGATATTTTCATGGACGATGCTTTTCTGAAATATCAACAATTGTTACTCCCTTTGCAGTCCCCGCGAGATTAACCCATCGAGTTGAGGTTTCGCAAAACTTCCTGGTCACTTTGGAGACCTGCAGATCATCTCTTTCCAAAGACTCGTTCATCCAACGAACAGCGATGCTCTGGAACACATTGCCAAGGAAGGCCATGGAATGTTTAAAGAATGCTGCACTTTCTCCGAAGAATATAGAAATACAAACTCTAAAATAGCTCGCCTCGCAAATGCAAAATTCCTTTGTCAAACAAAGTGTCACTTTTGATCCTAATAAAACAATTTACTATTATTTTCTAAGTATTTCTTTTTAGTTTAGCTATATTTATAAAAGCGTGTTTCTTAAGATTCTTAAACTACTATTTATTCTTCATTTTCTTGGATATTACCTATGAATATTTTCGTGACTTGTAGAAACTTCAGCCCGTATATATATAGCTAGTCGAAGTATCGATCAGAGATTTGTTATAGGGCGAAAATGTTGGCGAGAGGTGATCGTGCATTTATTGCAGTGAATGGGAAGTGACGTGGAAGGGAAGTGTTTTGTGTTTGGTAGATGGAACGGGTCGGGGAAATGAATGGAAACTCCGGCTCATAGTCCTAGGTCTTTCTATAGCCCCGGATTCGATAAAGAAAAGTACGAGTGAGTTTTATCGAGATGATTGGGTGATCGAGATCTGGCCAATGATTAGGATGTTTTTGGATGGGTGTTAGAGAAGATGGACCAATTTTTCTATTGAATGAACGTTGCACAAAGATATCCATCTATATTGATATTGCTTTTGGGTGTATGATAAATTGACATTCATCATACAGGGCGTGGAAATGAATTCTGAAATGAGACTCTATCACGAATCTGCGATTAGAGGTCTATAAAAATCACAAGTTTCCATCGTTCAAGTTTGAACCCCCTGATTGGGTATGAAAGTGTTGAAAAGGAATATTCTCAGATAAATTATGAACATACAAAAATGGATATATATTTATATAAAGCAATACATTGAGAATTCGCATTCTCTATGTGATGAGAATATTTACTCTTTTTCAGTTAATTCAATAGAAAACAACTACTTTCCTGGCTATATGCCACGACGAACATTGAATTATATCTATTGAACACACACGATAAGAGTTTGAAAATAAAATATAAAAATTTCTGAAATTGAGAATTTGCATTCTCCTTCAGACAAAAATATGTATATACACACATCATTCTGAATATTCAACAGAAAACAACTACTTTCCTGTCAATTCTCAATTTCGGAGGATTTTATTCTTTATTTTTCATGTTCCCCTTTTGAATGTTCATCAGATATAATTCAATGTTCGACGTGGCAAATAGCCAGGAAAGTAGTTGTTTTCTGTTGAATATTCAGAATGATGTGTGTATATACATATTTTTGTCTGAAGGAGAATGCAAATTCTCAATTTCATAAATTTTTATATTTTATTTTCAAACTCTTATCGTGTGTGTTCAATACATATAATTCAATGTTCGTCGTGGCATATAGCCAGGAAAGTAGTTGTTTTCTATTGAATTAACTGAAAAAGAGTAAATATTCTCATCACATAGAGAATGCGAATTCTCAATGTATTGCTTTATATAAATATATATCCATTTTTGTATGTTCATAATTTATCTGAGAATATTCCTTTTCAATATATTGATATTATTTTTCCCTACGACCACCTTTGAAAGCAGCATATTCAAGGCTAACACGATATCTGAAAAAGCCATCACACAAAAATTGTTATAAAAAACAGAGTGTTGAATTTAAAGAAAAAGTTGTAAAACTGTAAAATTTTTGATAAGGGCTGTGGAAAGCCTCATTCGACTTCCGCAAATTGTTTTTTTCTGCAACCGACACAAAAGTCGTCCATTTTGATACCAAAATTAGCTCTTAAATTGACGTTTCTATTACTGACACAAAAATAGGTATGTTGCTAGGCAACATATTTAGTTCCTAGGAGCTAAAGTTGAATTTTAGTTCCTAGGAACTAAAGTTCAACTTTAGCTCCTAGGAACTGAAACGGATGTACTGGACGTCATAAAGAATAAGCAACATTGTGACGGTTGGTTATTTGGGTTGAGACGCATACCTGATTTGTTTCCGATTTCAGCAGATTTGGCATTTCATACCCATGCACCTTATTATAGTCTAGTGTTGGAATTATAAACATCTCAGCTAAGTATTTTTGTTTGATCAGGGAAGCCTTCAAGATTCAAATACTTGCTTGATCTTTATTTCATTCGTTATTCTCGGGATAGATTACTTGTTTTTGAATAATCACGGCAAGCGATAGTTTTTTGTCTCAAACAACGATATTGTTTAGCTTCATTTGATTATCAAGTCAAACGCAGTGTATATAGTATAGAGAGGAATAAATAATCACTATTATCATTGTTGATATGCTCACTAACCTAACATTTTCCACGTCTTGTTCCTATAGCTGGCACTGGCGCGGTACTACAATTCGAACATCCTTGAAAACCTAACCTGCTGTTAATACAGGCAAATTTTGCTTTCGCTCGGCTTCGGTAAACGCTCCGCCTCGCAAATGCAAAATTCGCTTGTCAAACAAAGTGTCACTTTTCATCCTAATAAAACAATCTACTATTGTCGGCGGTGAGGCATTTTTTAAGAGACTGTAGAAAAAAAGGTTATCATGAGAGAAATAGTTGTTATTCATCCACCAAGGTAGTAAAGAATATCATAATTGCAAAGGGACCAAGATTATATCCCGACGCTTCAGCCGCAGAGGTCCCGTAGTAATAATATGGGAAACGTCTCGTTTGACCCAATTTTCGAATTGCCCAATTTTCGATTCAACCGATTTTCGATTCACCCACCGTCTTCGGACATACCCAAAAGATGCGTTGTTGTCAAATAATGTCACATTTCTTCGGATCCAATAATCCCATAAGATGTGCGTGTATCAATATTTTTAAATCGATTTCACTCGAAGATGATACATCTGATCGATGCGGAACAAGAGCACCTTTTTTTGTGAAATGATATGGATTTTCATAATACGAGATTAAATTGTCGACAAATATTCACACAAAAAATTTTGAGCAATATTTAATGTAGTCCCACCCTGTATTATACACTTTTGAGTGAAATTTCCGAATGATTTCATTTTCACTGCATTGGGCATGGAAAGTATAGTTCTTGTACCAAATTGCATCTTTTTATCACATGGGGTTTGGCAGGCTAATTTTGGGACACCCTGTATATTCAAATGAAAGAAAAAGAATGACTGTCTAGAATGAGTTAAACTGGAATTGAAATTCAAGTAGCTAGTTTGGAAACACAGAAACACCTGAGAATTATACGTGAAGCAATTGTTCGACCTAGAACTCACAACTTCAGACGTAAGTAAACATCACGATTCGTAGCACTAGGACACTTGATGAATAAAAACGGTGTTTGCCTTAAGGGGGCTAAAAATGTAGCTGGAGTCTGATAAAGGGAATACTTTGAGCCAGAAATAAACGAGGGTAGCTTATAAATGATTACAGGTATTATTAGGGACGAAATCTCTTGAGACCGTGAAGGGTTTATGAATGTAATATATCTGTAATGGATTCATTTTTATAAAGCAGATGACTGGAATTCTCTGAGAACTAAAGTTGAAGCTGAATTCTCCCACATAAAATGTTGGCTGGGTAAGAAGTTACTAACGGTGAATATTGATAAAACGCATTATTTACCGTTCTGTTGT